AGTATAGAAATGTAAAGAAGGCACACACAGTTTACAGGGACAAGCCCCAACCTTTGCTCATATTAAACATATTACAAAGAAACATGATGTAACACCCCCACATTTTCCACGCATAAGTTGATCAGGCTTATACACGAAAAACGAGGGATATCAAAAACAATTGGCAATATACAAGCATGGAATACAAAATGATGATAATAAAAGAATTTAGACAGGAAAGGAACACTAAATAATACAACATCCATCCATCCTTTATTTAATACCGTACTTCATCACAACTTGGAAATCCTATGTCAAGGATCCCTAAATATAACCCTGAGAGTTCAACGTCAAAAGTAAATAAAAACTGAAACTGAAGTAAATACATAAAACTTCTACCCTGAACTGGATCGTAAGAGTAGATGAGTTCGGATGGTGGTCCCACACTGCTAACCTCAACCTTGGAACGGGTACTGACCGTATCCTGAAATAACAACAATGGTGGGTCAACCCCACGAGCAAGTCCTCTCTACTATGACCCAAATCAGAGAATCAAATAAATTAATCATTTATATCCGGATGAGTACTATATCTGTATACATCCTAAGGGAACCATCTAATGTATAACATGACCTCAACCAGAATAGACAGTGATCACTTAGACTCACACTAGGTGGTTAAGTGTCGCCTTTCCCTACCCGGGAAATCAGCTATTATACATGGTGCACGGTACTGACAACACAGACTATAACGAACTACACAGTGATAACACCTCGCAAAGTACTGATGAATATATTGAGCATATAAATTAGGCAACACATGCCAACAATATTAATAAATATACCGAGTATGTCAATTAGGCAACACATGCCAATAATATTAAACCACATACCCCGACAGCCACACATCTGTCTATAGCAACGAATGCATAAGGTATAAATGAGTCTAAACTTATTAGCCAGCTCACATGGTTCTATATGGCAACTCATCCATATAATATAAATGTGACATAATTAAACAGTCCATTTATTTCCTGAAATGCACACAGCATAATAATCATGGTTTATATACGATTAACAGTATAAATATTCCATAATATATAATGGGTTATTTATATGAATAAAACCAAGCACTAATTAATTTAACATTAATGGTTATTACAGTTTAATAAAATAATACCATTAATAGTCGTTAAATTAATTACATATGTTTACTAGCGATTCGCACTTTAACTGATACAATTAATATTTAGAAATATTAATCGGACAATTATAATAGTTAACGAGAAATAAAATAATAATATAATGTCCCGTTAATTCTAAAAATGCCAACCCGAGGCCCCAAAATGTATAGTGAAGGTCCTGGTAATGACAAAACAGTCCCTAGGGGTATTCTGGACTTTTCCAGCAGCTGCAGAGGCCCTTCACGCGCCCCCACGCGCCGCCAAGCTTTCCCACTCTCCCACGTGCCTCCACGCGCGTCTGGCATCAGCCACGCGCCCGCACGCGCTCCCACGCGCGTCTGGAGCGTTCCACGCGCGCGCACGCGCTGCCACGCGCGCACTAATGGTACCTTGCTGACGCGGCGGCTCCTGATTCGGTGGTTGCATGGACTTTGTTGTGGGTGCGCAACACCGGATCCATCTATCACCTTACACCTAATCCAACGGTCATTGATCCGGGTGTATCGCGCTAACATGGACCGCGATGCACCGGATCAATCTAACACTCCCAAGGGCCAGGATGTGCGCGCACACCAACCTGCAGTACGCCGCAACACACCGGATCACTCCGGTCATCTCCCCCATTGCCGGCGACCGGAAAACTCGCCGGAAGGTCGCCGGAAAATGCAGAAAAGCCCCGGAAAATTCCTAAAAATTCTAAAAAAATTCCTAATGCCTTAAGGAAATATTTTTAGCTATTTTGAACATCCTAGGATAATAACTAATTATATACTATCCTAAATAATTAAAATTTCACAAATTTAATAAACTAAAATTCCTAATTTATTAAACTCCTTACATGGTCTCTATGCTCTAAAATAATATCAATAAACTAAACAATTAATTTATTAATTCAAAGGGGAAAAATAGATAATAACTTGCCTTTTTGGATTTAAAATAAATCCGCCGGTTGCGCGTAGTCGGGTAAATTCCCTACACCGGTCCAAGCTCCTTTCTTTCTTTCTCTTCCTTTCCACACTCTTACAATGGCTCACTAGAATTTATAATTTGTTTCTAACTCCCTTTCTTTTTTTCTAAGGTAGGCTAGCTAATTTATATACAAATTATATAATATAAATATTACAAATATCTCATTTTTACATTTACTAACCACCTTCCCAACCATATGGCTTCAATTCCACCCATAAACATTGATGAAATCCCATCCTAATCTCTAATTTCATCATGACATTGGTTTTAATACTATTATTATTATTATAACTATTATTATTATTATTACTAATATTATTATTAATAAACTTTTATAATTATTATTATTATATTATTATTATTATTATATTATTAAACTATTATTATTATTATTATTATTACATAAGAATACATTATATCATTATAATACTTTATAACATAATTATAATACTTTAATTAACTAATAATGATTAATATAAGCACAACCAACAAATTAAACTATTAATAATAATACATGCATAATTAAATGAATAAATTTACTATTTTAACATACACAATTAATTTACATGCACATTTAAATGAACTTAATATAATAATGTAGCATGCACAATAATAAGTAAAGAAATCCTCACATAATTGAATTTTTTAAATAAACTCAACTCTTTAATAAAATACAGGGTATTACACATGAGTTCGTACAAGGAACAATCAAGGCTCACACCCTCTTCTCTGTCCCCTCTACAAAGCCCACCTTACCATTATATAGGCCACTCTCAAAATCGCCCATAACTGCCCACTAAGATGATGGATGACACCCCCATCCACCTAGGGTCGTGCTGACACCCTTTAAATGTGCCAGCACTATAATGCAGTTGACAAGCCCAACTGCTAGACTTGTTGGCAGGTTCTGCTCATGCCACATAACCACAAGAAGTTACATTCTGCATAGTGGAGGAAACCACCCTTAACCGCCTGTGTGTTGGTCCTCTCAGAATTGTGCCACATGTTTAGGAAGTTACTCAGCACTCCCCCACTTCCCATGATGAGTGGGAAGTGCTAGTAACTTCCCCCAACCGACCGAGCCCACTAAGCCACCACCTCTTGTAACCGCAAGCCATGACTTTGTGTTGTCCATGCTCTAACCACATCTGAGTCAACCTTGTAAACCTAGCCCAAGCCAAGTCCACCAATCTGCACCCACATATATATGTCTCTGAGTGCACAGCGTGCCAAGCCATGCACGCCCGTGCGCACGCTCGGGTGCACACCAAAGTGCACGCCGGCGCACACACTAGTGCCCTTCTTCGCGCGCCATGTTTGAACCCTCATGCGCCCATGGCTGTACACCCACCTGGACGCCCATGCACACGCCGAGCTAGACGCTCGCACACACTAGGTTAGACGCCAGCCCGCGCGCCCACCTGCACGCCTGCACGCGCGCCGCTGCACACTAGCGCGCGTGTCGGTGCCCACTTGTTTGCCCTTCAATATCTTGGATGCTCCCCACTTGTGCAACCATCTTGGAGTGGTGCAACACGTGCCCATGCACGTTGGCTAAGCCCTCTAAGCAAGCCATGCCATAGCCCAACCGATGTGCTCAACAGACCCCCCCTAATATAGTCTTAAGGAAATCCAGCACTCTGACAGGAGTAAACATCACCCATGCTTGAGGAGTCATAATGGCCTTTCAGACCTTTCTCGACATCCAAATTGAGTGCCGTCTGCGCCAACCAGCTTCTATAGACTCAAGGTACCTCCCCTAAAGATCCCGAGTCAAAACTCCAAGTTTCACTTTTCACCATATTTACGAAAGTGCCAATGGGCACCCCCAGTGCATGCCGAGCATCCTTTTAAGCATCTTGTGTGCACGCTGAGCATCTTGTGCACGCTGACAACCCACTGAGCATTCTCATGGCTGTCTAACCAAAGCCAAAGTATTTCCAAAACATGGCATGGCCTTGAAATGCCCATGTCTTCCCTTGGACAACCATCAAGGGGCTAACAGAGCGCCACCCCATGTCTATGGTTCCACTGTATTAGATTATTAATTCCTGGGCCTTTATTTGGGCCACTCTAGTTGGGCTTTGTTTTTTCTCTTTTGGGACAACAGTAAGTTGTTTTTCTTTATTTTTGCCATTGGGCTCCTTTTTTGCTATCGCCTTGGGTTATGCCCAATTATACTTGTAAATCTGTTGACAATGATGGATTTTAGTTTAATTCAAACGTGGGAAGTAGAAATACCGATACTACATTATACGAATATTGGAATACGGTAAATCATTAAAAAGTAGATACGAGTAGGCATGATACAATAATAAAAAAATTAATAAATTTTATTATATATATATAAATTAATTTTTTTAAAATATTACTCCGTATGAATTTAAATACAATCAATAATATAATGTAGAATTTTGTTTCACAGCACATAAATACAAGCATCTCTAGTCATCACTTAATAAAATATTTGAGAAGTGTGGAATACACAGTTGAAATATGTAAGAATCATATACGTGTTAAAATTTAAAAAATATATATTTTAAAATTATAGTATATTTAAGAAATATTGAATATGTATTTACGAATATCCATAGACTATCAGTATAGAAGAAGTATCCAACAAATATCAAATACGAATATATCGCTCTCTTATAATTATTAGTGCTTTCTGAATTCAGACCATTTGATTAAAAATATAGTCTAACAAAAAATTATTAATATATTACAAAAAAATATCATTTATTAATATATTACAAAAAAAATATATCTTAACATAATTTTTTTTATTAAATTAGTCTATCAAATATCAAATTGTGAAGAATCAATCTAATAATGTCTCAAATAACTGAGTTGAAATTAGATCTGAGAAATGAATTTACAAGTATAATTGGGGCATACGCCCAGAAAAATAACAATTAACCCTTATTGGGGCGGTTGCCGGCTGCACTTCACTTGCCCCTTTCCTGGCGCGCTGTTTCTGTTGTCTCTCTCTATACAAACTTTCCTCTCTCTCTCTCTTGAAATACTATAATCTCTCGGCGTCATTAATTTTTCTCTCGGTATTTTTACACACTCTCTTTAAACCCTAATATTCGACTTTGAGTGTTAGACATGACCAGGCAGTGAAAAGCCAGCCCTCAGATTACAAATTGAAAATGGCGAAGAAGGTCATCGTTACTTCGAGGACGGAACTCTTAGAGCGATGGAGAGTCATTGAAGAAGAAGACGACGACGACGACAATTTTTCTTCCGATCCTTCGAATCCTCGTCGTCTTCGCCGGCTTAAAGAAGAATGGTTCGTTCCTGTCATTGCGATACAAGCCATTTACTTAGTCTTCTCAACTCTTCATCGTTAATATTATTATTTTTTGGGTCTCAAAATCTAACATTTTCCATGGTTGTAAATTTCGAATTCTTCGTCCACTTTATTGATGGTTGCACATTAAACATCAATTTTCAGTTGTGTTACTCGTCATGTGATCAACGGTTTTTATTTTTTTTATAATTTTTTTTTTCCTAGTTGGGAAACTCACACACATCACCTCCACTGAGGTGGAGGTTCGAACCCCTGACCTCCCAGAGGGAGGAAGGAGCCTTGTACCGCTAGGCCATAGGCCTGTTGGTAACTTTATGCAATTTTAGTCCTAGCATTTTTAAATTGGCGCCAAGTTAATTGAGTTTTGATGACATTGAAAATTAATCACTGAAAAATATTAGTGCTGAATTCATAGTCGTGATTGCTTTAAAAACTGAGTTTATAGGGTTGGATTAAAAGTAGTTGATAAAGAAGTCAAGTTTTTTTTTTTGTTTACTTAATATTCGGACTGTCAAATTTTATTAAATTGTGCATTGTAGAGTTATGCACTTATTTAGGCTGTCCAACAATGCCTTCGTTGTACTCTGACTTCACTTATATTGCACACTTTTCTGTTTAGGATAGCCATTGGGGTTATCATGGTTAGAAATATTTTTTTGAAGGTGCTCTACACTTGTTAAATCCATCAGATACAGATGGGTTACAACTCCATTATGTTGCAAATAATGGTGTCCCTTTCCTTCAGCAATTGTTAGCACAGCTCTTGATTAGTTCTCACCCTTTCCATGCAGTTGCTTGCATTGTGGATGCATTCCTTTGCCTCGTTGTTATGGCTGATTGAGTTAATTCTGCCTTTTATGCATAGCAGAGCAACCTTATCCCGCCTTGACTCCGATGCCGCCCCGGTGGGGAAGGTTGGAAATTAATTTTCCTTAGTGTGCAGGTTTGGGATAGGAATGACCGCCTCGAACCCAACACTAATTACATCCTAATTGTTCCTATTGTTTGCTGGAGGCTGCATGGCTGGATTCTCAAGATTGCAAATCTTGTCCCCTCCACTCCATATTCACTTATATGCATGGATAAATCATATATCAGAACTTATGTTATTGTATCAACTTCAAGTAGTTGGGATCCTCGAAAACACTCAACTAGAGCTATAGGAAAAGCAACAGATCAGAAAATTGCTATGGAGAGAGAGAGCATAATGAATAAAGCCCGGGAGTAATCTTTGAAACAAAATCAATGAGAAATGAGTTTTTATAAGAAAGAATGCCGACAGATAATCGCTGTATTTTCCGACATAAAATTGCCCAAAACCCAATCCATTGAAGAAAAGATTTTATATGTACTGAATACGATTTGAATGTCACTCCAGCCATCCTTTCAGTCATCGATCTAGTTCATAGATAAAATCTCTTCTTGCTGCACAGGTTAAAATAAATCAACCTGCTTAAATCATCCTTGATGTGCCAGTGTTATGAATGTTGCCATGAGTTAAAATGCAGACTGAGTTAAAATGCAGATTGCTGAGTGCTGACATTAATAACGTTGTTCCATTGGCTATAACTGTAAGCACACTCAACTGGTGAATGCCAAAAAAAGAAAAAAAAAGGAAAAAAAAGACAAACTCTGGAACAGCTGGTGATTTATATATCTACAATGTTCTGAATAGTCACATTATCTATCCCCTCTTCAAACTTCTCTTTTTTGGTTCAAAATTATTGTTCAGTTAAATGTTTGTACCTATTATATAGTATGGCTAATTTTGTGGGGCACATTGATTTAAGATTATGTTTTTATGTGAAATTGTGATACACAACCATGGTGGACATTATATTGTTTTCCCCTATTTCGATCATGAGGCTTTTGGATCTCAATTTTAGTTATACCACCTACGAATTGTTTTTTACTCTGCTTTTCTGTATTAAATCGAAATGTTGACCTTCTTGTAGATTTTTTTGACTCTCTGCAACAAAACTTATTTGTGTGCATAGCATTATTTTACCTTTAGTTTCTGTTCTAAGTCTCAATCTGTTTTGGGGTTATTTGTCTATGTTGATGTGGTAAAGTGTGAATTTTGTGTTCTGTTTTTAGGTTTTCAGATGCATTCAACTTCTTGATTTTTTTGCCAAAACAAAATCATATCTGGTGCGGCGCTTGGGATTTGATGGGACCTCTTTTGGAAACATTTTACAATTATTTTAAGGATGAGCGACACGATTCTCCTCTCAAGCTTCTATGGAAGAGGATCTCTGAAGAAATGCAACTATGCACACAATGCATTTGTCAGCACCATCAAGCCCAAGGCATATATAATGTGGAGTATGACCTGAAATCCGTTGGTCCTCTTCTTGATGTGCTACAGAGTCTTGATGAAGAAAGAATAACCGAACACTTGAAAGAGATCAACGCGAGAATAGCGCGGGGAGAATATGATCCTGTGCGTGACAACACTGAAGTTGTTAGTGTCATATTTGAGGTATTTGGGTTGTTTTCTATATTTTTTGCTCTCTCTCTCTCTCTCTCTCTCTCTCTCTCTCGTTGTAATGCAGTAATGTGCAGGATGTTGATTGCTAGCACTGGTTTGTGTTATTTATTTTGAGCGTTATGTTATTATAAGTAGTTTTTGTTGTGTTTTATAAGCGAAAATTCTTGCCAAATGGTCACTAAAGGCTCATAATTGGGATGATATGATCCAGGTTTTATTTTATACTAGTTTGTTTTGTAGGGACTTAGGAAATAAAATTTGTTAAAGAAAGTTTGAAGGAAGAGGTCTTTTAAAGAGAATATGAAAAGTTTTCTTGTTGAAGTTTGTGCTGTTTGCTAGAGCATATAAAAGTTTGCCGTTGTCTTACAGGTTTTGATGTTCCCCATCTTGTTGGATGACCAATCCTTGGTAACTGAGTTTCAAACATTTATTGAAGCAATTGATAATTCTCATGAACTGACTTTGGCTGGACATCAACAGTATCCGGTATATTCATGTTCATTTGTATTCATCTGTTTCATTGTTGGCAGTAGACTCGAAATGTGTTCTTATCTTGTTAAAATCAACCTCTAATTTATTTATTGTCAGGGAGTTTATGCATTGCTTTTTATGAAAAGTAGAAGATCTCGTTCTATTGGTTTTCGCCTAGCTGTAAACATGGGAAAATTGAGGTACTGTTCTTTCGGAACTTCATGTTGGCAATATGGTTTGCAAGGCCTCGAGGTTCAATTATCGTGATTTCCAATACTAATGCTGATCTTGTTCATTATGTTTTGCTGTGGTAATATAGTAAGCTGGGAAATTTGGGTGTTGTGGAGGTTGCAGTATGGTCCCAGCCTGACTCCAAAGAATCATATTTAGATTTTAGACTGGTTGAGCTTGCTTACTAATTCTCAGAAGAGGGCAAGAATAAAACAAATATGGGTTGAGATAGTTAGGAAAGATACAATTGCCTATGACTTAACTGAGTCTATGGCCTTAGATTGAGCGGAATAGTAAAACAGGTCTTGTGTTGCCTACCCCAAGTAGTTGGGAAGAGGCTTCGTTGAGTTGATTTGGGTATTGAGATGATTTACTTGTATTTTAGGCCATGTATTTGTTGTAGCAGTTTTCATCCTTCATTATTTTGCGTATTTCTTTTGCTGTAATAAATTTTCAATTTGTTACAAAAAGAAGAAAGTTTGACCAATCTAAAAGGGTGTCTATGGGTGCTACTTATATCTGTCAATGTTGTTCAATTTTGCCTTAAAAATATTGTTAGAGATTATGGATGGGTTTTCCAACCTCTGAATGATGTCTTTCATGAACTAATTGATGCTACTGGGTGTTACTTCGCTGCGTAGCCCACACTGGATTCGCTTTCCCCTAGTTTGATATTGATGTTCTCAGCTGGTGGTCAATTAGTTTTTCTAATGAAGGAATTTTACCATAGAGGTTCTATTAAAAAATTAATTTATGCTTATGGCCACATGGATACTGGTTTACGTTTTATTTCTTATTTTGTTTGTTTGTAGGGGATCAACAGACTTGGAGTCTTTGCAGCCTTTGCTTAAGAAATGTATTGGCTTTTTGGAGGCAGGAGTATTGCCATCAAGTTTTGAGACTTCAAGGCCAAGGGTGCAGTTGGACCGTATAACCATATGGCTTGGAATCAAGGCATTGTAGGAACCAGTTGCCTTGGCTTAACTCTTTATATTTAGTTATTTTCCATTCTGTTTTAATGGTAATAGTGTTTTTCGTGTGTCTGTGTCATGAAGGCTTGGGTTCTTAGAGCCTCCAGCATTTGAAGAAGGCATATTGGAGCGCTATCCCATTTTCCTTAGTATAGTACTGAACCATATAAGTGATGATTCAGTTGAGTTTTCATACGCAGTTAATTGCCTGAGGCTTCTCTTTGAAATGCTCGGTATATTTTTCTTTGGTGTATTCTTTTGTTTTGATACTGTTAGTGGTTGATTTGTTTAGTTTCTCAGTGTCATTTTCATTTTTGGGGCTTGCTTAAGGTTGTAAGCTATGGTTGAGGGCTACATTGTCTCCAAGTGTGATGCGCAACACACTATTGGGTCAGTGCTTCCATACTCGAAATGAGAAGAGCCATAAAGAAATCTTTGATCTTTTCCTGCCTTTTCTGCAGGCATGTATGTCTAGCATTTCTGCTATTATATTTTTAAGTCCTTAATTGGTATTTGTTCTTTTCTATTTCTTGTTCTTCGGAGTCTCTGAGCATTGCACATACTATTTTGCAACATTACTGATGTGTTGTAATTCTGTCTATCTAGTCTCTTGAAGCTTTGCAAGATGGAGAACATGAAAAACAACGGAGGCATTTTCTTTATTTTCTCTTGCATCAAGTGACTGTGAGCAGTAACTTCAGCATTCTAATGAGGCAAAAGGCTTGCCAGGTTCTGATTCACCTTCTAGATTATCGGATCATATTCTTTAACTATTTATGCTATTTACTGCAAGATTGTTTTTGCAGATAGCTCTTGTCATCATTCATCGAGGTTACAAGATGAACCCACCTTGCCCACCTTTTGAATGTGCACATATGTGGTGCGTAGTTCAAGTCCGTTGTTTTGATTCTGCTTCACAATTTTTGAGAATCTTTATTGTAAAATGTGCTTTATGCATTTGCTTCATTTGGATATGAGCCGGTTTACCTTCTAAGTGGTTTCATTGAGAAGTTGTTCAGCAGTTTTTGTCGGCTGTAATATTGCATTTGAAATTTGGAGAGATACGAATAGGCTCAGTTTTTTTATCCTTTTTCTCTTATTGGTTCAGGCAGAAATGTGGAGAGAAACAAACTGGATGTGAATGGAGAGAGATCAATTTCAAACACAGAAAAAAAAAGAAAAAAGAAAATGTCTGGAAAGGTGGATTAAATGTGAAACAAATAAATCTATAACGGTGGTGTGTTTCGTCCTTCGCCATTCTATTGCTATTCTTCTTCTTCTTTAAGCTAAAACTAAGACTTAAATTATTAGCCATACGGTATATCTCTATAGACACCTTTCCATTTTCCTCTAGATACAAAAGAGAAGGTAAATTTCTTTATTGTATAAGCATAAAGATTTGAATAATGATTACCCAAGCTTATGTGAAACCAATCTGAAGTTCATGTGTGCAAAGATGGTTTGCTTTCACATAGAAATGCATGGCTTTTTTTATTTATTATTTTGATAAGTAAAAATGTATTAGAACGCGTTCAAAAGGGGAACGCATTCCAAGAATTACATAGAAGCCGAAGCCGAAGAAGAGGGATCCTAAGGAACCCAAAAAATCAACTATCTCCTCTATAGATATACAATTTCTCCCCATCCCCCAACTAAAAATAAAGCTAATAATGCGGAATTTTAACGTCCACATACCATTTTTTTTTTTTTTTTTTCTTAATTGGTACTCACACACACATGCCTCCACCGCTAGGCCACTGGCCTGTTGGTCGTCCACATACATTTTGCATTGCTTTGTTGGTGAAAATTTTGGACCAGTATCAACTTAGATAACCTCTTATGACCTCTGCAATTTTATTGGACAGGGGACCTTCCCTTGTGTCTTCTCTGAAGGATTCATCGCTTCACAGTTCTCTAAGACAACCTGCCTTTGATGTTATTCAAACCATTATAATTTCTGATTCAGCTGCCTTAATATCTTCTATGCTCAACTGTTGTGCACCCCCAAGCATTGGTGAGAACATGTCTACTGAATTTAATGATGAAGACGATGATGACAACCTTCCTTCTGCTCGTAATGTTGGAGAGAAGGGTGTCAGTTGTTGGAATGAATTCAGTGTGCAGAGTCAAATCACCTCTCTGGATATTGGGGGATGGATGTGCATTCCGATGTTGTGGTGTGATGTTTTGGTTGATATTGATCCCTCATTCCTTCCTGTTTCATTTTCCAAGGCTGTTTTCTTTGCTTTATCTCGTTTTTCTATGGTTGAGCCTGAGAATAGCACTGAAATGACACTTCCAGTTAGAAATTGGTTGTCAACGTGTGCTTCAGAAATCTCACATCTATTTGGGTGGAAGGTCCCATCTGGTTCTGATGATGGTGCTGAAGGGAAGGAGTCAAAAAATTCGATAAAAGTGTCTACAATGTGTATGCCTTTAATAAGAACATTCAAGAGGTTAGTTGCATCAGCTTTATACATTAATGGTGCTTTGTACATCTCTTTTATCTGATTGCTGTGATGTAAAGCCTCTATTTATATGTATACTTTGAACTCGTATTTTGAAAGTGGATGCACCATAATGATTGTTGACTCAAGGTGTATGACAGGATAACTGCTAATTTTCTTGTTAAAATGGAGCAAGGAGTGGTTCGGAAGATGTGGACTTGGGAACCAAGAATGAGTGAAAGCTTGATCCTTTTGCTTGTGGATCCTAATGATGTAAATATGTGTATCATTCATTATGACTTTCTGACTGAAGTGATAGATTCCTCTGCGTGTGTGTGCGTGTGTCTTGTGTGCTCATGATTTGCTTTCCATTAGAAGTTGCTCAATTAAGATTTTCTGCTTGATACAGAATGTGCGGCATGTTGGTAGGCGTATCCTTGAACAAGTTTCAAACACGCGTGGCCTTGCTTGTGGTTTGCAGTTTCTTTGCTCCTGCTCATCTTCTTTGTCGGCCATTCTTTTGGGTTTGAGACATGCTTTGAAACTGGTACTGATTCGTTCTACTACATGTCCCAAAAGCAATTATATCTTGTTTTTATTTAGGTAATTTTCTGTTTATTATGAACTAAACTCTATTTGCATGTTAAACCTGGAAATGCCATTGTCTGACTTCACAAGGAGTTTTGGAGTAGCTTAAGTAGTGGTGCAGGATTGCTGATCATCGTAGAACATTTAAGCATTCGGAAAAGGCCCAAATCTAGATGCAAGAAAGAGATGATTTTATTTGTGAACTTATAGAGAGATTCTTTTTATTTAACTTTGAATCAATATAATGCAAATACAATTTTTTCTTACAATCATCCAAACATCTTTTTCATTTACTTTTTTTTTTTCGGTTTGAAACATTGTGCAACAAATTTAGTTACCAAACATGTTTCTGTTTTGAATGAAATTGCTTCTGCTTCATATGGAAATCGAAAACACAAAGCGAAAACAGTTGCCGAACAGGCCCTAAACTTGCTTCCTCCTCCCCTTCCCATCCCTTACATTGACATGTAATCTGTCTTTAGTCACTGGTAGAGGAAGATCACTAATTTGTCACAAACTGCTTTTGGATAAACATGGCACTTTCCTATAAATTAATGGCTGCTAAACCCTATGTCGTAGCTGCCTCTTACTGCATAAGAACAGAACATGATTCACATAGGATTATTTTGTATTCGCATATTGCAATATAAGGGTGTCCCTTTTTAACATATTGGAGATCTTAAAATAATTGGTTGTCCCTTTTACCAAATGTGGGTTCCAGATCACAAAACACAGAAAATTTGTTATGTTATGTTTGGGAGCACCGAATCGATGCCTTGGATTTGGGATTGGAGGAAGTTTAATTCAAAATTTGTATTAAATTTTCTCCAATCCCAAATCCAAGTCACCGATTTGGTGCCACCAAACGTAGTATTAATGTTAAGGTCATATTATTTTTCATCTTGCTCATCTAGTTTTTTTTCCCCCCCTTCTTCCAGGTTCAGTTGGATTCAGTTCTATTAAATTTTCAGAGTTTACATCATTTCTTTTTTGTTGTATGCAAACTACTTAAGGAAGGGGTTACACCTACCCCAACCCTGCCAAGAAGTTCTTCAGAGGACTTAAAAATTTCAAAGTACTCTTCTCAAGGTGGATTTCTGGGTCACCCAGTCTTTGATCCTGTGACTATTAGTGTTGATGGAGATTTGTCAGATGTGGATTCAGTATTTTGGGAGAAGTTTTGTTGCTTACTATCAGAAATTGCGTGGCCTTCTATAAGGAAGTGTATGGCAGAAGGGAAGGCATTCATCGATTACAAAATTTCCCAGGTCTTATCCCCATCCTTCATTTAATCTTGAATTACCTGTCAGCTTCTTTTTATGTAGTCTCCAATTTTTATTTGTTTTATTTTTTATTTTTATTTGTCAACTCTTGGTTTAAATGTTTGTATTGCGCAAAATATGTCAGTTTAGTTGTTGTGAGCATCTTTTTCATGCGAGGGTGTGCTTGATTCATTTTTAGTTGATACAAATCCCTTTGCCATGCCCGTTGTTTTCCAACAACCTCTTGCATCAGGTAAACTCGGGGAGTAGTAACGAACTGAGTTAGAAGCAAGTCCGCTATGAACCAATATATCAGTGTGACTGAAATTCGCAACGGACTTGGCAGGGCTTTGGGGTGGCTCAACAGAGAGTGACTACAGCATTGGCCAAGTCACCAGAGACTAGGCCAGTTGGCTTATTTAAAGTGGCAGACATGCATCTGGCCTACTTTTTTTTCTTCTCTATTCCAACAACCCTCTGTCATTCTTAGACTCAAAATCAACCTTAGAACTATGCATCTAACCTTGAAATCACAAGATCTTAGCCCATAACTTGGTAAGTTTTCATTTTTTTAGATTTATTTTTCCACCTAGATCTAACATAGAAATGTTGTTTTTTACAAGATCTATAACCTTTGTTCATAGATCTTGCACTGGATCTCTGCTCTACTTATTTTTCAACACTATTATATTTTTTTTCAAAAGGGTAAATTTATAACTCATAGTTTCGTACAATCATGTGACAATCTGGACCACAAGGTGAACAAAAAGGGAAAGAGCTAACCATCTTGCCTAATAATCTACTAGCTCAAATCAGCCTTTAGTGTGATCATTGATAAAAGGCTGTTACCTAGTATTGGCAGCCTATGCAGGGTGCAGGGAGGGCAAGACTGAAGAAGGACCTAACTTTCAGTTATATTTTGCATAAAATTTTTGTTTTTAAATTCCAATTTGTGACGTCGTGCTTGATATTGGAGTGAAATTCATTAATTTCTTACAATTGCTAGTCCATTTCATTCATTTAATTCCGAAATTTTCCTTCTTTATTACATCATAAAGAACTTCTGATCAACACGATCCCATGCCTCTTGAATATTGAACTTGGAAAGAATTCCTTTCCTTCCAGTCTTGCCCAATCCTCTATTGCTTCAGTGGCCTCCAAAAGACAAACAACATCTAAAATGGTGACCTTTAGAAAAGCACCTTGAGTCATGTAGATGTTTTCTTGGAGGGCCTCCCCAACGTTTAAAGGTATGACATTACTTAATTTCTTTTACAAACCTGTTATCTAGCTAATAGGCCAAAAACTCTGATAAAACTTGTTAAATTCTTTCAGAGGATCCTCTTTTATAATTGCCAGACAATCTTTGAGAGAACAGCCATTAAAAATCCATTTGGTTCAAGTGACTTGTCTTTGCTTCAGTAAATATAGCTTCTTTGACGACTCAATTTGAAAAGGCCTCTTAAGCTGAGCTGCCTTCCTATTAAAATTGGGGTCCAGTAAACACCGTCCACAACAGGCCTAGAATGCCATCTTCAAATAAAGGTTAGAAACCAATCTTGTACTTTTTGTGGTATCAACTTGATATCTTCCAAAACTTTCCAGATGTGCTTTCTAGTCTTTCAGTGATATTTTTTTTCCTCCTCCCATTAGCCTTCCTATGAAAAAAAATTCTTATTGCTATTTTATTCCTTAACCCATTTCTACCTTGTCTTCTCCGTCCATGATATCTCCTCCATAAGTAACACCTCTTCAAACTTTAATTTCAGTTTATCTCTGTCCCTCCTAAGATTCTCACCATGAAGCCTCGACTCTTCAACACAATGGACATTAATTCTAGTGAAAAATGGTATTAGACTCCTTAGTATCACTGAATCACTGTATTATTCCTGTCTTTAAGCTTGCTTTTGGTAATATGAAAGTCCTCCCATTCCTCCATTTGATACTCACTCAGCCAATTCCTGAAATAACTAGAGAAAGAATGATACTCAGGTCACATTTTAAATATAAAAGGACCCCAGATGAATCGTCTCTCGTGCATATCACTCAAGGAATTATAAGTGATGGTTGTGTAGAGATCTATAACACAATATATTTGGCAATCATCTAGTTTGCAGGTATTGAGTCTATGGTCCAGTTCTAGATTGGGGAAGAACCCCAAACATCAGAATGGGTAATTATCTAATAAAGTTAAGTGTCTTAGACAGTTCATGTACACTTGGTTATGTTTTCTAAGGTTTGGGGGTACATCGATTTAATTCCAATGTCTTTTTTTTTTTTTTTTTTTTTCCTTGAGAATCTTATTTTATGGAATGCTTCAAATGGTGATTTGAGTTTATAGATTTTCTAAGATTGTTATTATAGTCCTTGGTTGTCTTCCATACCCCTTTTCTACATGGTTTTTCCCTTAGCTGATTCAATATTGTTATTTTTCATTTGAGAATTAAAATATTTATATAAGCTCCATGGTGTTTTGGATTTATGGCAGTAATTATGTGACATCAAATAGTTGATAAATTGGTTGAACAGTTATATTATAGTGAGTACACATGTATTCCAGGAGGCTGGGATTCATTAATTTAGTTGAGAATTCTGGGTCTCATCTCTGTTGCACCTAAGCCTATCTTCATTGAGTAGAGCGCTTTATATATATATATATATATATATATTTGTCGTTTATTGTTTCAGATGACTTGTGTCCGTTTACTTGAGATCCTTCCTGTTGTGTTTGAGAAGCTTCTCCCATTAGTTCATAAAACAAAACTGGATTCGAAGATGATGGTGGAAAATTTAGTTGACTTCAAATGGTTTCATGATTTGATGGATTGGGGAAGGTCATCACTTGCAGTCATAGTTAGATATTGGAAACTGACAGTGGTTTCTTTGCTAGCTCTTCTTAAAGGGTGGTGCAGTGATAATTCTGCTTCTGCGATCAGCGCCATTGAGAAACTTCTTTCATGTGGTGAGTTTTCATTCTCTCTAACTATGTTATTTCAAGTTTCTAACCATCAAGATCATCATTAGCTACTCTCTTGCTATTTTACCTTATAAATCATGGCTGTGGAATCCAGACTCTGTTGCAATGGATGAAGTGACCGAACAAGTATCACGCCTTTCTGTGTCATTATCAAACGAAAGCTCATGTGTAGTTAGAAAAACAAACTTGAAGTCGAAACCTTTAGTTTCTGAAAACTTGTCATTTGAGAAGAAGTGTTCAGCTCAAGGTGCACAACCTTTCTCCTTGGAGGATGAAGACGTGCAGATTCTGGACTCGGTAACATCTGTTAATAGAAGGGATGGAGATAATGTTGTTGTTCTTTCGGATGATGAGACACAAATGGAAACTTCTGCTAGGGAGGACATCTCCATTCATTTGGGTTCAAGTCCGCATATATTGGATAAAAAGACAGTGACTTCTAATGCTTCTGATAAAGTTACGCAAGGTGACATTGCAAAGAAGAACAGTTCCGCCATTAACGCGTCAAAGAATCTGTTTGACGCTTTTCCGAAAACTGATGCTTCTGATTGTGCTGGATTTTTCTCGCAGAAGCTGGACTCAGATTCAGTGGAAGGCAGATTAGGCCCTGCACCTTGCCTCAAATCAAAATCTGTAGATTTTAAGACAGAAGATACAAAATCCAATCGCCAATCCCAGCGGGAATCTAATTTAAAAACCTCTTTTGAAAAAATTATCAGCTCTGAGAATAGGGATCAACCATGTGTGAAAAAAGTTTCAGGAAAAAGTGATACTGTGATAAAAGAGTTAGTACGTGATGAAGTTAATTCATGGGATTTTGCTGTAAAATCCGCAAAGTTTCGACAGTCATACACAACAAAACCAAGCACTTCTGGTCCCAAACGGCAAGTCATTCAACTTAATGTACCAGTAGAAAACAGATCTGCCTATTTACATAGGCTGGAAGTTGGAGTTAAAAGATTCAAGCCTCCGAGGCTTGATGACTGGTATAGACCCATCTTAGAGATAGATTACTTCGCAACAGTGGGATTAGCATCTGCAAGTGAAGAGGGCAGTAAAACTCTTAGCAAATTAAAAGAGGTCCCTGTGTGTTTTCATTCACCTGAAGAATATGTGGACATTTTTCGGCCATTGGTATTGGAAGAGTTTAAAGCACAGTTGCATAGTTCCTTTCTAGAGATGAATTCTTCAGAAGAGATGTATTGTTGCATTCTATCTGTGGTGTCAGTTGAGAGAATTGATGACTTTCATCTTGTTCGCTGTGTCCATGATGATGGTGATTCTGCAGGATCTGGAAGCTGTTCAGAGAATGATCTTGTTTTGCTTACAAGACAACCCCTGAAAAATTCTTCACATGATGTTCACATTTTGGGAAAGGTATACAATGTTTTTGTGTTACTCAAGACAGGAAATGTGTAATCATGATTTAGGAATATTTGATGAGAAACTATTCTGTTTACGTTAATGCATGAACCTGTCAACCTATAAATTTTCAAATTACTATAGTTTATTTTGCACATTCAGAATTTCTTAAAATCTTAGCTGCTCCAATGGATATAACTATGTTTGAGACCTTGTGTGCCTCTGGTGATATGATACTTTTGATTTCAGCTTCATTGAGCTTTAATAAACAATGTGCTGACTAATAATTCCTTTCAGGTTCATCCGACTATTCAAATTTTATTCTTGATATTCTGATGGCAGATATTTCTAAAATTGCCTGGAAGTTTAAAAGCTAATTGAATGATTAGGGTAGGATGATACACTAAATTTTTTCTCTATGATTGATTATCAATTTACAAACTGCTATTTAGCAGTTGGACTGTTTGTCTCTTATGCAGCTCATAGATCACTTCAACAATGTCATAATAGTGAAATGCATGGTTCATCAAGTTATTTTTAGTATTTCACTCCATAGGTTTCAGTTCTTTGTATTCTGCTGAATGCACCATTGTGTCCTAGGTAGAGAGGCGTGAGAAAGACAACAAAAGAAGATCAAGTATCCTTGTCATCCGGTTCTATCTTCAAAATGGTTCTTCACGTCTCAATCGAACTAGAAAGCTCCTTATTGAACGAAGCAAATGGTATGTTAGTCGTGTTATGAATATTACGCCTCAACTTCGAGAATTCCAGGCACTTTCAGCGATAAAGGATATTCCTTTACTTCCTAATATCTTGAATCCCATCAACCATTCTGCTGGTCAATATGAATCTAGAAAAGATCTTAGTAAGCTGTCTCAATCCTTGCAACGAATTCTTAAATCGTCATATAATGAGAGTCAAGTTCAAGCTATTAGTGCTGCTATTGGACCCTTGGATTCAAAGAAAGACTTCGAATTGTCTCTTATACAAGGTCCACCAGGTATGTATTTTTTTATTTGAATGGATTGACCTATAACCGGATAAAAAGTTTGTGGTATGAATGATATGGTCATTGTTTTTTATCTGCATTTACCTTTAGGTACTGGAAAGACCCGTACTATTCTGGCCATAGTCAGTGGTTTGCTTGCTCTCTCTCGAACTAATGATACTAAGAGATCACCAGATGGTGGTTTGAAACCTAGCAATACTTCATGCTCCACTTCAAAACTGCAGATTAGCCAGTCTGCTGCTATTGCAAGGGCCTGGCAGGATGCAGCCTTGGCTAGACAACTGAATGAGGAATCAGAAAGGACTTGCAAATTCACAGGAAGCTGCACTAGAGGAAGGGTGCTTATTTGTGCGCAATCAAATGCTGCTGTGGACGAGTTAGTGTCAAGAATATCTACTGAAGGTCTTTATGGAAGTGATGGATTGGTGTATAAGCCATATCTTGTAAGGGTTGGTAATCCAAAGACTGTTCATCCAAATTCACTACCCTTCTTTATTGACACACTTGTTGATCACCGTTTGGCAGAGAGAATGAATGCACCTGATGCCAAGAATGATATGTATGGAGACTTGACAGCTCTCCGTTCTAATCTAGAGAAGTTAGTAGACCGTATTAGGTTCTTTGAAGCCAAGCGTGCTAACTTACAGGATAGAAATTCCAATTCAAAAGGTTTATTGGAAGGGGATGCTCTAAAGGGGGATGACGGGAAGGAAATGTGTGATTCAGAAATAGCTGCTAAGCTAAGAAAATTATATGAAAAAAAGAAAGCAATCTACATTGATCTTGCTGCTGCTCAGGCACATGAGAAGAAAGCTTATGAAGAAAGCAAAGCTTTAAAACATAAATTGCGGAAGTCTATATTAAGGGAAGCTGAAATCGTAGTAACTACATTGAGTGGATGCGGTGGAGATCTGTATGGAGTGTGTTCTGAATCCATTTCAAGTCATAAATTTCGCAGTTCATCTGAGAATACTTTGTTTGATGCTGTTGTGATTGATGAAGCAGCTCAGGTATGATTTTTATTTTTCAGCTCTTTCTCTTATTTGGTTCCTGTGGTTTATATTTAATCAACCTTTTTTATTTTGTGTTTTGCTTTTATCATTGTAGGCTCTAGAACCAGCTACTCTGATTCCTCTTCAGCTCTTAAAATCAAAGGGAACAAAATGTATAATGGTAGAGACCATTGAATCCATTTATTTTGTAGTTACATTACTTTAAAGAAAAAAAAATGTAATCATCGTTATTAATGATGAAGTGCTGTTGTTGAAGGTTGGTGATCCAAAACAGCTTCCTGCAACAGTTATCTCTAATGTTGCCAGCAAATATCTCTATCAATGCAGCATGTTTGAACGTCTACAAAGGGCTGGTCATCCTGTCGTTATGCTTACCGAGCAGGTAAACTGACTTTCCAGCATTTTTTAATATTTTAAGGTGCTTTGCCTTTATGCTCTGTTCGGTAGGAGAGAAAAAATATTGGATGGAAGGGAGAAAAGAAGGGATGGACGAGACATCCCTAGAGAAGAGATTGTGTATTTCCTTCTTTTTGTTTGGTTGGATAGAAGAGAAGTGAATAAACTTATAATTTCCTATGTTCGTTAAGAGAGAAGGAAAGAGAGAGTTTTAATTAATTTTACCATTATATCCAATAATATTTATAATATTGTAATTTATAGAGGATAGTAATGTAATTTAAAACTAGTATAATTTAGGATAGTATTTAATTTAAAACTTTTATAATAGTTTACTTGTCTTCCTTCCTTTCTTCTGCCCATTTTTGGGCGGATGAAAATTTGTAAAGGAGGAAGGATGGATCATCCTTCCTATTCTCCTTTCTTTCCTTATATCATTTCTACCGAACAAAGGAAGTTCGTTCATTCCTTCCTATTTTCTCTCCACACTTCTTCCTTCCTTCCTACCGAACACAACATTAGTAAGAGTTTTTTTATTGTTGCTGAGAGGTGCCAAAAGGGGCTCAATTATTGCAAAGACTTGGTATACCAGCAATTTTAGATAATGGTGATTTGCGTTCTATGATATGGTACTTGCAGATAAACTCCAAAACAAAAGGTACCTATTTATTTTACCAAAATAACCACTATAAGGTATTCTCATATTGGGGGATCTGAGATTAAGTTTTGTGGAGAAATTGCTGAAATGTCTTCAGAAGTTTGATCCAATGATCTTCACATGCCAGTAGACTAGTAGAGTTTCTTTTTTCCTTGTACTTATAGTTCTTATGAAGTTGACGTTCAAGCTTAGTACCTAATCCCCATCCACCCCCTCCTCACCCACCCACAAAACAAGAAGAGAAGCAACAGTTCCGCTGGAACTATTTCTTAATGTCATTCTCAATCATTTTCGTCATTATAAACTACCTTTTGAATCCTTTTCTGGTTACTCATACTTTGATATGATGATGATGACATGGTGCTGTTACTTTTATGATAATCCAGACAATTATATTAAGTGAAGTCTTCCCCCCCCCCCCTTCCTTTTCTCTCTCTCTCTCTCTTCTCCTTTAATGCCGCTATTCAATGGTAATTAAATGAAAACAATTATGAGTGTAAGAAAGTTAAAGTTATAATTGAAATAATCTGAAAGGGAAGAGACATACAATAAGACACATGATACACCATCCTTGTTTTCAGTATTATCACTTTTCAGTTTGTGTATTTCAATGTTTCCCATCAAACGACCACCACGTTGCATCATGTGGGCGCAATCACGGTGCTTTGCATTAAATCTATAACATGCATTTAAAATTGGGGTACAAGATTTGAGACCCAGACATCTAAGGAGGAAAGTGACGCATCTTACCAATTTTATCTTCTTAACAAGGATGTTTCTGTATGTTATAACGGGTATGAAGCCATTTTGTAGTAATTAAAGAAAAATCATACTTAATGAATTGATATTTCATATTTCATGTAGGATAAGTACACATATTTACAGACGCTCTAGAGACACTCCTACTCAAGAAATTTTAGACTTTGGCGCTCTCCCGATCTCGCTCCCACTCTATGTGACTTAGCACGATACTACAATAAGTTACTATTCAAATATTATTTTGATTTAAGTTTGTGATTCATGGCACTTCTACATATTCATCTTTTGTTTTGATTAATGATAGTAACAAGAAGCTGTTAAGGTGAAGGTATAGGGTTTTATGTCCAAATTGGGATATGCATGTGTTTTCAAATCAACAATCACAAACAGCTACTACATTTACAATATTAGTCTGTACCCGGTTTACCTCTCCCAAAACCCTCAATTAGCAGGGACCGCACTAGATAATATGACTTTCTCTCTCTTACGGCCCTGTATAGACAGCTTGAGTGTTATTTCTTACAACCCGCATATCACACAACTCATGAAGGGAGGAGGTGTAATGTTCATGTCGGGCTTGCCAATTGTGTGTAGTACTTGTATCATCATCATCATCATCATCATCATCACCAGCATTGTTGTTTTTACATACTAAAGCATCTCTCATTGTCTATTTTTGAAAATTGCCTTCTAAAATAGTTTTTATGTTTGGCAGTATAGGATGCACCCAGAGATATGCCAGTTCCCATCTTTGCATTTCTATGATAGCAAGTTGCTAAATGGTGACCAGATGTCTAGCAAATCAGCACCATTTCACGAGAGCAAAGTTTTAGGGCCATATGTATTCTTTGATATTATTGATGGGCAGGAGCTTCATGGTAGAAACTCTGGTGCACTGTCCCTCTACAATGAGTGTGAGGCTGATGCTGCAGTTGCAATCCTTAGGTTTTTAAAGAAGAGGTATATATTTTCCTTTCGTACCAATACCGTGATTCTTCTAGTACAGCTTCTAAAGTTTACATTTTGTTACTCCGCTAGTTACCCATCGGAGTTCATTGGTGGAAGAATAGGCATCATTACTCCATATAAGTGTCAGCTTTCGCTATTGCGTTCGCGGTTTTCTAGTGCATTTGGATCTTCTGTTACTGCTGAAATTGAATTTAATACTGTGGATGGCTTTCAAGGCCGAGAAGTTGATATACTGGTTCTTTCCACTGTTAGAGCCGCGACACCATGCTCTACAACACCTAGGATTGGCTCTAGCAGTATTGGATTTGTCGCTGATGCAAGACGAATGAATGTTGCTTTGACAAGGGCAAAGCTCTCTATGTGGATTTTGGGTAACACAAGAACATTACAGACAAACCATAATTGGGCTGCTCTTGTTAGGGATGCTAAAGAGAGAAATTTGGTTATATCAGTTAAAAAGCCGTACGAGTCCATGTTCAAGTCAGTTTTGTTGAAACATCGCATTTCAGAAAATTCTGATAATCGACCAAGACAGCTAAAGCATGGTGAAAAGGTTAAAGAAGCTACAAGGCATGCCGAACTAAAGCAGAATAATGCCAGTGACACCTTTGTGAGGAAAAGAAAATACATGAACACTGAACCTCAAAGTGAAGACATAACAGCAAGGGATGAACATGATGATTCAGTCCCAAGTGAAGGTTTCAAAACCAACAAAAGAAGGGCTAGAGAGGAACGTGAGTTTTCAGTAAAGAAGAATCTTCCATCTCAAAGTGTTGTTGATATTGATAACAGAACGTCCAAGGATGTGAAGTCTTCAATCAAAGGAAAACCTGTAACTGATGATAAAAGAAGGGGCAAAGGGAGTGTTGAAAAGCAATCTGATACATCGAATGCTAATGTGGGTAAGGGGGATCACAAGCCTGAAAATTCAACCAGTAATTTAGATAACTCCAAGCCAGTGATAGGTGATAGTAATAAACTTTTGAATTCGGTTGCACTGAATAGACCTACAAAATTGTTTGAGCATGATAAACAGATGAATATGGAAGTTGCAATACCATCACATGAAGGCAGCCACAACGAGCAAGATGGAATTGACAACACATCTAAAGAAGCAATCACAAAGAGAAAACAACAGCGTGATGCTGTTGATGCTCTTCTTTCTTCAGCTCTCATATCTTCAAAGAAGTCTGAACCTTCACCTAGATCTCTGCCTCTCAAAAGGCCTCTTTCCCCAAAGTCAACTGCAGGTCGTGGGATTAAACCGCCCAAACCAAAAAAAGGTGAATACTAATATTTAACATGCTATAAATATTAATTGACATACTATTACATATTAACTTATTAACTCAAGGCTTTTATACATATCTTATAAGAATGAAATCTAATATAATGCTATATATTAACTTAAGAAGTAAAGATGATACCTGTCCTCCACACCCATTTGCCCCTATGGGGACTTGAACCCTCACCATCCACTTTGGCAGGTAGAGGAGATACCACTTGGGGAACAAGGCCTTTGGTAAAGGAGAGAAATTAAAAAAAAAGCAATCTACATTATGTAAAACTCTATTGGCAGATTTAAAGAGAAACCCTTAGATATGCTTTTTATAAAATTATACCTTCAAAATTTGTAAATCTAGCCTTTGAATTTTGTTTTGAAGCTTAATGAATAAGATGAAAAGGAATAAAGTAAAAGTAGAAAGAAGTGAGAAGTGAATAAAAAAAGAAAAGGGAAAAGAAAAGAAGTAATCTAAAACTGGTTGAAATTTCAGACCAGTAAATGCCATTGCATAATGGCATTACGCATGAATTTTTCTTCTATGATTATTAGGAATGTAATGCAACATAGGGTTACTTTGCTATTTCGTAATGGCTGTTATGTTATGTATTACATTATGTACCAGCCAATGGATCCTGGTTGTCGTGCATGTAGGTGAATGTTTTCACGGCAGCAACATTGGTAACATTCGCAATTCTGAGGCCTTTTTGTTTTATAAGATGTTCTAAAACATGAAAACAATTAAGTATCTCTGCTAAACTTTCAAGAAGGTAAGGGGTACTAGATTCACTATTTTGTCACCCATCTTCCTCGAGGGGAAATCATTGGTTGATATCACTTCATACTAGGAGTTAACTCGGTAAACATGTAATTTGATCATGATCCTGATTTCTCAGCTTCCTATATCGAACACTCAACCTCTCCTTTAGGGAGGAGAGATTATACCATCTAGGCTAGTGCCCACTGGTATTTGCATTTTATTTTGCTGTCTCAGCTTTCTTGTGTTTTTATTGTTATTTTTATGGCTTTTCTAATCATTTGATCTTTTATTTCTTATGAATGTTAGATCCATACTGTAAATATCCATATTAATCGACACTCCTAAGAAAAAAAAGATTAGTGTAGCAGACTTGTGAATATAATGGGTAACAGTATCCTTGAAGCAATAAACATTACGAGCTTTTGGTGATGCTGAATCATAGAGATGAAAAGCTTTAAAGCTGCTCATAGTTGAAAATATTAATCTTTACTGGACTCGATATGAATTGATTCAAAACTAATCAATGTTTTGATATATCTAGTTGTCTTTTCTAGATTGGAAGTCTGTCTATCTTGTTTAGCATTCTTCTCCACATTTTACATATATCATCATCATCATTGCGTTTCTCCACGTGTCACATATTTGGAAGTATTAATTAACTTCTGATAGTTCCTGCAGCATCCTCGTCAAGAACAATGCAAGATCAGAGATCAGATTCACCACATCACAGAAAGAGGGAAAAATCTTCGAGCTCTCCCAGGAATTTGGATGAAGTATGATATACTTTTCTATGGTATGATTCATGATCAAAGGTGTTTCATATGTTCCCGAAACTACAATTGAGTTCATATCATCAGTATTGCTAACCATTGTAGATGAGCGTCTTTCTATATTTGATGTCATGTAATAGTATTTGTGAATTTTTGGAGATCAGGGTTCGGTTCCTATGGTTGGTTTCCGTTCACCCATGTGTGTATAGCCGTCGTTGTAAATATTAGTAATTTTGATATCGTTAGGGAAATGGCGCCTTTTATTTACTCTTTTTTTTTTTTGCCCCTACATTTGTTTGTAGTTCTCGATAGTTATGTTCTTTTTTGTCACATGTATTAACCCATCTTAGTGTTTCTGAATACAAAATTCCTAGTTTTTTTTTCATTGGGCTTAACCAGGGATGTTGTTTTACTAAGATCGACCAGATATATAGCATGTGTGTAAGCTGACACCAACTAGTTGAATTGATGGTCTGATAAGTAGGGTTGAGATACAATAACATAGCTTTTATTTGTCTCCAAGAAATGGTGACATATTGTTAGGTGGTGAAACATGGTTTTTGAGTTGAATTAAGCCATCTATCTCGTAACCTCTATTTGCCTCTCTCTCTCTCTCTCTCTCTCTCACACACACACACACACACACACACACACACACACACACACACACAGAGTATGGTACTTATTATATAGTTTTATGGTTCTGGGTATGATGATCATGATTAACAGCTCCATGCCCTCATATATTACTAAATAGAAGTAACCTCTTCCGCGGAACTTCACCCACCAATCCTGCTTTCACTAAAATCTAATTTGTTTTTGCATGCCGACGTCTATATCCGTCATTGTCATCACTCCAGAACCAACTTTCTGATTATTATTCAAGCTATATTTCTTTCTTTTTCTTTTTCTTTTTCTCTTTTCCGTGATTAAAGCTATATTACAAATCCACTGGACGATTATGATAATGGACATCTCATCATCACAACAGCAATTACATGCCAAAATAATAATATAAACAAAGAATTCTCAATGGGTCGATTTCACATCACCTGGACTCATCATCACAACAGCAATTACTTGTCAAAAAATGACGAGTAAGTTATATTTGTTAGTTTCTTTTTTTTGAAAATATTTTATGACAATTAAATTTTAAAAAATTAAAAAATAAATTTTAAAAATATTTTACATCCAGATAAATAGAGTATGATGCTGAGATGTTTTTTTGGGTGTACTATTGTGATATAAAAAGTTTTGTTTTGTTTTGTTTTGTTTTTTCTTATTTTTTTTTTATTTTTTTGGCACAATTAATTTGTGTTAGATCACAGCAAAACTTATTTGTTGGGGGTATTATTAACTTATTTGTTTGCGTAATATTAATTGGTCACATAGTAGCAGCAATACTAAAAAACAAATTATAGAGGAGCTTCACCATGCCTTGTTAAGAACTTTAAAACTTGGGTATCAAAATTATTCAGAATCATATCATATCTCACTCAATTGTATTCTTTTTTTATTTTTCCTCCATCATTTGCAATCATAAGCTTGGCCTACCCACTGACTCTACCACAGGAATGGGTAGCACAGGTACATTCACTGAATATGAATACCATAATATAAAGAGATACAACAAATCTCAAAAACATTAAATACAGAAATATGTCAAAAATAATAATATCGTAATATATTGTTAAATATAAAAAATAAATTTAATTCGCGTTAACGTGAATGAAATCACAAATTTAAAAGTTAAAAACTTAGAACTAAAAGGGATGTGTTTGTTATCTCAAACTTTATTTGATTTTTCTAGTTTACCCAAAATATATATTAGAATTGCATTGAAATCTCATTCTTTTAGGAAAAATAATTACTTAGTACAAATTGACTTGTGTTTTGAAAATTTTCAAATGTGTCCTTTTTGTGTTCCAAACATGTCCAGTCAAGAGAAAAAGATATTCAAATTTGAAAATAGTTATAACTAGGTCGGCATGTGTTTAATAATATTTCACTCAAAATCAACCCAACTAGAGAGAACTAAGAGTAAAAAACTTAAAATCGTCTTAACTAGAGAGGCATAAGAGCTCACTTCACTGCAGTATAGTATTATCCGATTTAGGTCCGAGTCAGTTTTGCTTTTGAATTTTAGCACAAAATGCCTTATATCATTTAGAGATAACACTAGCACATATATACCACTTTCTCTTTTCACACCCAGACAATATGAGACCATGCATCCGTAGTGTGCTAGTGTCTCGCACCCAATCCACAACGTCGCCATAACTACAGGAGGCTAAAGTCATTTTCTTTTCATTTTGTTTTTTTATAATTACAATTTTAATTATAAAGCTTAGAAAATTTATAATTATGATAGTTAAATATTTGTTTATAATTAAGTTTTTTTAAATAAAAAATAATAATTTTAATCAGGGGTGATTTTCAAATTTGTTTTCCAAAATAAGGTATGCTTAGTGAGATGATGATATATGAATAGGGGAGAAGAAGTGAGTTTAGGAATTGATATTCTTTTGCGGGTTTGGAATAGGAATGACCCGCCAACTGACATCTCAAAATGGTCCAAGTGCAATGCATTTATCTACCTACTACTACTACAAATAATAACAGCCACACCCTCGGGTAAGTGGTATATTTTCCAACTATTTAAAAAAAAAAAATACAAAATGTTGGTAAATAATATATATATATAAATTACATTATTTCATGTATTATTTTCCATAATCATGAAACAATGATTGGGGAGTGCATGTATGATTGCAAAGGGCCATAGGGATCTGGTTTTCTTTTGAGAGTTATAAAGGAAGTGAGTAAATGGAGCCCTCCAGAACTTCAATTATTTTGGTTCTATTGAGAAACTCAAACCAGTGTATGATGGTGTAGCCAAACTGACCCAATTCACTTCACTCTGCTTCTTTCTAGGGATCCTCAACCCCCTCTGTGTGTGTGTGCGCGCGCGTTCTCCTTTAATTGGGAGCTACGAGGAACCTGACACCGCCCAATTTCCTGCTACACTTTTAGTTCATGCATGCATGCATACCAACCACTACTCAATACTGATCGTTTCTGTTCTTCTCCAATCTCTCTCCTGTCTTTTTTTTATGCAAAAAAATTTCCAGCCCTAGAGAAAATGTTAAGCATGTCGTGTTAATTTCATAAAAGTAATTTAATTACCCTATTGTCCCTTAAGCAGAACTTAAGCACATTCAGTTACCAACAATATTGCTTCCAGCAAAATTTAAACTCTCAAACTCATTTTTTAGAGAGCGAAGTTCGTATCATTTACGCTAATGCTTACTGCTCCATTGAGAACCAAAAAACAAAAAAAAAAGGAGGAGGTTGCCAATTGTTACTAGAGTAATGTTAAAACAAAATTAATTTGTAACTAACAATACAGTAATACCAAAATCAAATAAAGTAAGATGGACACTAAGTGCATATAGTTCCAAATTTTTATTTATTTATTTATTTCCAAAGACTTCCACTTTAATCACCCATCCCTTTTGAGTTTTGATTTCTCACTAGTTGGGCATGTTACAAATTAAAAAAATATATAAATTGAAAATTATAAGTTTTTTCTTCTCTTCATACAAATCCGAAGCCTCGAGATTGAAAGTGAGTGTACAATCACATTACATCATGTGCAATTGTGTCAGATGGAGAGAGATTTTATATTAGGTATGATGGTAGTGGTCATGTGAACAAATAATTAGAAAAAACCTGTAATGGTCTTGGAATAGTAACTAAAAACTTCTATACGGAACCTCATAATTAGTATGTACTATCAAATACTAATAACTACTTAATTAATAACCCAAATTAAACCCAACCTCAATCTGAAGAACTTTAATTTTTAATCATAGTGTACGAATGTCCCATCCTCTTTGACCATTGACCAAATTAATTAATTATGAGCTTCAATGCATCATATTTACTTGTTTAATCCCAATTGGTAGATTAAGGACCACTTTTTATTTCCTTAACTGCCACTTCTGTATTGGGAGAATTAATTTTATGTAAAATTGAAAAGTAGGTATTCTATATTTTTCTGCAGGCTGCAAAAAATACATCCTTAAAATTAATGATAATTGTGGAGGGAAAATTTTGACAACTACATACAAAATAACGATAAATTATGTAGATACAAATATGTGTGTCAATTTCGACAGCATACGTGAACAGTCAAACTAATCATATACATGACAAATATGTGTGTCAACTTGGACAGTATAGTGGACAACCAAACTAACCAAGAAGGCCAATCAGCAGGTCACATCTACTAAATATTGAAAATAAAATTCATGGAATCAACAAATATTCAAATTAGGAATTGAATTGGCCAGTTAGCTTGGACAATATACGTGAACAATCAAACTAACTAAGAAGGCTTATCAGTACGTCATATCTACTAAATATTAGAAATAAAATTCATGGAATTAGTAAATATTCAAATTAATTAGATATTGAATTGGCCCAGCTTGGATGGTACGTGGACAGCCAAACTAACCAAGAAGGCTTATTAGCAGGTCACATCTACTAAATAAAATTCATGAAATCAGTAAATATTCAAATTAGGGATTGAATTGGCCAGTATACGTTGACAGTCAAACTAATCAAAAAGGCTTATCAGCAGGTCACATTTACTAAATATTATAAATAAAATTCACAAAATCAACAAATATTCAAATTAGGGATTGAATTGGCCCAATTAGCTCCCTAAAAGGAGGGGATTAGCCTCAATCCCTAATATTCAGGGATTGCATAGGCGGCATTCAAGTTTAATTTTCTTGTATAAGAACCGAGAAAAAGAAGAAAAAAAGATATACGCAAATACTGTACCAAAGACGAGAACAAGACAAAAAGACGGTTGTTACTCACACTTCTTGTAATTCATAGAGGCCTAACCTAACAATAACAAGGAGTTCAGTATTCAACTTTCGAGTGTTTTGGTGTGAATTAGCCTTGTTTACTTTTTTCACAAATTCTGCACCTACAATAATATATGTAAACATTATGTAAGTACCATATAATGTTATTTGATTAATGCAACAAATTGATCTCCACCATTTTAGCTTTGTATGAACTAAATTCCTAATTAGAGTAATCCATTCACTTTTCGAGCAATTTGCTTAGAAACATAATCAACACACCTTTATACAAATATTGTCATTAGTGATTAACATGTTACCTACTCATTCATCTTTATATAAGAGATAATATAATAGCACTTGTATTAAATTAAGTTGGTTTTTTTGTTGCTTGTTTTGTTTTTGTTTATGTTATGTAAAATGGAAGAAATTTTTTTTTATTTTTTATTGAACATCAGCATAGTCAAGACTCTCTATACTAATCATTCCATACTTGGTCAAATTAATAAATAAAAAAATTACTAATAATAGTAATAAAAATAATAGTGAAATGGAAAGGTGTTGTGAGTGCTTTCTTCAGTGCAACTTGTGGGTAAATAAATAAATGGGCATTTCACATGGAATTTCATGTGTACCATTCTCTCCATGATCTTCTAAGCAACCCCATATCCAATAAACAAACATAGGAAGTATAGAAAAAAGAGCTTAAAAAAGTGGGAAATCAATTAATGACATTGTTAAATAGACATGAATTAAGATGCAGATACCAAGGCAAAGCTGGAACTTTATTGATATATATTTGAAGCTAGAGGAACCAGCCATCCATCCATCATGAGATGCCCTTTCTGAGCTTTTGGCTGTTGGATGGCAGTTGCATCAGAAACCACCAATTGCAATAAATTATTAAGTCTCAGAGAGCAAATTTAACATACAAACACACATACAGTTAGTAAAAAAGACAGTCACATAACTGCACAACCTAATCTACCATTTTCTTTTGAAATCTCAACCAAGAGAGAGAGAGAGAGGGAGAGAGGGGAGAGTTGGGATCCAGTGTGGTGTGCGGTACGTGTACCACATTCGACGAATTTTAATTTGTACGCGTGAAGTGTTCATACGTGCAATAGTTGGGATTTGTGGAATGCAGTGTCCTCTACGTGTTGTATTATATCTGACGGATTCTAATTCTAATTTGCACACGTGTGAAGTGTTCACACATGCAAGAGCTGGGATCTATCGAATGCAGTATTTAGTACGTTTGTATCACATCTGATTGATACAAGAGCTAGTTTGCACACGTGTGAGGTGTTCGTGCAAGAGCTAGAATCTGTTAAATGCAGTATAGCAAGTACAATACACTGCAGAGGATCCCAACTCTAGAGAGAAAGGAGTAAAAGAAATACGGAAATCAATGGGAGTCAAACTTCAAAAATCTGGACACTAACTAATCATTAGAGGATGATTAAACAAATAGAAACCCTTGATGGGTTATGATTTTAGATGCAGTTGCACCAGTACTAACTTATGTAAATTACTCATTGATACCACATAAAATATTTATATATATGAACATATAATAGAAGTTGAGAGAACCCCAAGCACCCCTCAACTTCTTTAAATATGTGCCCCATCATTCATTTGAGACTCACCCAAATAACCCTTTCAAGAGAGACCCTTCAAAATTTCTCTATCCACTGCAATTGACCACATGGATTCAAAAAAGTCTAACAAGATCAGTGAGATAGTTAGGCTTCAACAGATCCTCAAGAAGTGGAAGAAGCTTGCCAATGCACCAAAGAACACCAACAAGAGCACCACCACCACCACCACCACCACCACTTCCACCACCAACAGTAATACTAATGGCAGCAAAAGCATTAAGTTTCTCAAGAAAACACTCTCATTCTCAGATCACAGCTCCATGTCAGCCATGTCAAACGACGCCGTCCCAAAAGGGTTCCTCGCGGTATGCGTTGGAAAAGAGCTGAAGAGGTTCATAATCCCAACAGACTATTTGGGTCACCAAGCATTTGGGATTCTATTGAGAGAAGCTGAAGAAGAGTTTGGGTTTCAACAAGAAGGAGTTCTCAAGATTCCATGTGAAGTCCCATTTTTCGAGAAGATCTTGAAGATGGTTGAAGAGAAAAAAGATGTCTTCTTCTTGCATGATCAGTTTGGATTCAATGGAGAGAAGGACCTGATTGGATGTTACTCACCTGATAATTGTGAGCTAACACCATCTCACCATCCTCAAATGTGTAGATGAATATTCTTTCTTGATTAATCATATATTTCGCTTCTTTTTATTTTTTTTCAATGATTTTCTTTTTTCTTTTTCTTTTTCTTCTTTTTGTTTTTTTGTGAAGAAAATGTATGGAGGTGATGAGAGAGAAGAGTACTGAGATTAGCTATGTAGCTACAGGAATTATAGTTGAATAAGTTTGATTTCAGTTTTATTGAAATCAGTAATTAAAAATCCAAGTGTGTCCTTTGCTCTTAATTTTCTTCCAACGTCACATGACATGACTTACAGTTAATTTTCTCACAAATATATATATGTGTGTGTGGTTCTTCTTAATTGTCTGTGTGACTGTGTGTTTATTACAAGAGTAATAGTAGCATTCTTTAGATTTTTTATTTAAGCAAGCATTACAATGAAGTGCTTCAATAATTTTTACTGTTAATTTTTTTTAATAGAAATGCATCAAGGACGATCTAGATGTACGAACCATTTGGCTGACAAATAGCCCTTTTTAGCGTTTGATGCACATTCTGCGTTACTTAATTATAAATAATATATGCTCACATGCAAACATATATATATATATATATATATAATAGAGTTGATGATTTTGTTCTTAAATAATTTTCTCCAACCATGTGGCATGTGCTTAGCTAGCTAGAGGGTAAATACTACATATATCTAATATCTATTATTGATAATAGGGGGAATTGCAAAAAATCATGCCACCATATTATTATATATATTCCATGCAAGAACATTTTGAAATTAAGAAAAAATCAAAGGCCTCATTTCAAAATTAGAGGCTTTTTATGTAGTTAAAAAAAAAAAAAAAAATGTGTGTGAGTGGTGGGTACTTTAGTAATAATAATGTATTGTTTTGATTCTAAGAATAATTTTGTCCTAAAATTTTTCTCAAACAATTACTTTAACAGAGGTTAGTTAAAATGACCCCCTCATGATAGTTAATGGGAGTTAATTGATAAACATATTCATAAGAGGTGTTTTTTACAAACAGGTGAAAGTCGAGGGGAGTTTTTTGCAATTCGCCCTTGATAATATTATCATATTTTAGGGGTAGCTACCAACACAAGTTATTGAGCTAGCTAGCTATGGAATGAATTGATCGATACATATCATAATTTATGTTATAGTTCATAGTTCTAATAGACTCAAGAAAGTGACAGTGGTACTACTGCACTTAAAAGAAAAATAAAAGTTGGTATAACATAACCTATATATATATATATATATGTACCTGACTACCTCTATATACCTAATCCATTATTGAAATCCTTCAAACAATGATCACCAAAAATATATTGTCGTTGCAATTCAGTTATGGAGAAAATCAACCCTCATCATACTTTCTCTTCTAAGATATTCATGAAATCAAGAGTTGGTATATATTGCTGAAAAAGATTATAAATTAAGTATGAAACTATGTACCTACATATTTATATGGATAATAATATTGCTAACGTTATATATATATATATATATATATATATACTGCATGTTTAATTTTTTTCCTCTCCTCTTGCATTGAGAGAGAAAAAAGACATCACTGGATTACTGTCGTTGCGTGATTTAATTAATGAATCATTTTTAAACTTGTAATTTATAACTTAAAAAATAAATTCATAAATAAATAAAATTGTTATTTATTGTATTTGAAGCTATATAATCATCCACTGCCGAGAAATAAAATTTGATGAAAGACCTTTCCTTTTGCTTCTATACATGGCTTCCAAACCATTTTTAACCTTTACCCATAAAGTAACATGGCTGGAGGTGGAAAAACCATAATAGTGAATACCTTTAAAATAAATAAAATGTAAAAAATAAAATAAAGGAAAAATAAAATGTGACACAATTAAAAGGTGGAGCCTTTTATGCATTCCGGTGGCACGGAAATGCATTTGTAGTCTCTCTTGTCATTTCTTTTAAATAAAAAACAATAAAGTTAAGGTTTGAAGAAGTAAATCATAAATTCAGATGTTTTGAGTTTGATTCTTACAAAATGTAAAAAAAAACATTTGAATTTAAATGATACCAATAATTTGTGTGTGAGATTGCGTATATTTAAGGTTTACTATATATGTAGTCGTGAACTCAAAAAGTTGGTGGTTAAAAGTGTGATCGAATTGTTATACATTCTGATAATTGGAATGATGAAATTAATTAATTGTATTGATTTAAGAGTTTAAGATTGTTTATATGTATCGTAAGATCTGACCAGCAAGAGATGTATATCTTTGTTGAGTTGCAAGTCGATCATGATAGTCATCAATCATCATGAGGTGGCATATGCATAACCTAATTGAACTTTGAGTTTATGTGTCCACTTCTATATTGGAATTCAACCATCCATCATGAATCTTAACATTTATTTTAAATCTCTTCCTCCATATATTTACAAAATCTTACAAAAAGACACACAAAAAAAAATAATAATAAAAATAAAAAAATTAAATTTGATAAATCGTTAGATCTCTCCACCATGATTCTTCCAGGACAACGACCACTATGACCACTATGACAACGATAACAACAAAAATAAAATTAATAATAATAATAATACAAATCCATCCCCTAGTCCTTTTCAATCCAGCCTAATGTGCAGTGCTAGTTAGATGGTAGAAGCTACGGATTCCTTTTGTTGGTTTCTCCTTGAAAACGCTATTCATACTCATGGTGTGTCAATGTTGGCTTGAATCTTTAACCTCTCATATGAAAGGAGCAGGAGATATATACTTTATGAAGCACAAACAAGAATATAAATACAACACGGGTACGATTATAATATAATATAAAAATATAAATCTCAAATAAACATACATGAATAGATACAATACGATAATAAAAAATAAAAAATATTTATATTTTTATATATAAAAAAAATTAACTTTGGATCATTTTTTTAATACAAATATTTTAGAATCTAAATGCAATTATTAATATAACATAGGAATTCGTTTCACAAAAATATAAAACAAGTATCTAGTCATATATTTGGAGTTTTTCTTAACAATTAGAATATAATATTATTATTGGAAAAGTTACCGTTAAGTTCAAAACTTGTTTAAAGCGTGTTTTTGAAATATCTGAAAAATATGAGATATGTGATCAAAGCATCGGAGAAGTATCGGATAGGTGGTCAAAATATGTGAGAAGTATCTAATACATGTTAAAAATGGGTAAATTGCACTGACACCCTCCCAAATTTGGGTTAAAGACAACCATCTACAACTTTGGCACTTTTTGAACAATGACATCCCAAGTTTGGTAAACTGAACAAAGATACCACAATTATGATAAAAGTACATACTTAATTGCCATTTGACTTATGAGACTCATGTAAATCATTAAATGATCTTTATAACCTCTTATTAATTAACCAAAATGATCAACTCCACTTGACAGCCCCATCATTATTTGACCAATCTATACAACGGTCTCCTAATATTTAATAATGGACAATACTTGGGTCCTCCCTTAGGAGGATGAAGTTCATTCTTCAGCCATATATGACCCAATACAATTTAGACACGTATCCAAGTTTTTAAATTTTCTAATAATGGTCGGTATCCAATTTCTTATGAGTTAAACCGAAATCTTTTTTTTTTTTTTTTTTTTTTTTTTTTTTTTTCAATTTAAAATTTATTAGAATCCCTCTTTTAGGCTTCGTTTGGATCGAGGAATTTAGAAAGATTTGGAGAGAAAAGAAGGGAAGGATAGTGATTAGGGTGTTTGGCTAAGAAGAATAAGAGAGAAAAGAAAGGATTAGGAGGGATTTGGAGAGATAGTTATCCTTTTAAATTCCTCATTTGAAATCCCTCCAAAATTGACAAGAATTGGAGGGATTTGGAGAGAAATGGAGCAAATTACAGAAGGGGCAAGAGAGTTGAGAGACAACCAGCTGAAGCTTTGCGAACAGCGACCGAACTGGAACAGCGGGTGATGGAAACTGATAGATATGGGTTTTGAATTTTTTTAACAATCTGAAATGATATGCAGATATGAGTTTTGATTTTTACAGTTGCAGAGAGAAAGGGAGGCTGAGAACGAGATGGAGGCTATTGGGGAGGCTGAAATATATATATATAGTTTGCAGTTGCACAGAGAGAGAGATAGTTGCAAAACAAGAATTACAGACCTTGATTAGTTGATTTTAGAAAAAAAAATTAAAATAAAACCCATACATACAATTTAGCAGTTGCAGAGAGAGGGGGGCAAGCTTGAAAAATATGGGTTTTGATTTTTGGAACAATCTAAAATGATATGCCGATATGGGTTTTGATCTTTTGATTCCAGTAGATTTTGTAGTTTGTAGTTGGAGAGAGAGAAGATCTGTGAGAATGAGAATAGAGAGAAGAAGGCGATTAGGGAGGCTGAAATGATTTTGCCCTACTAACCTTACCAAAAAGGGTAAGATGGTAATTTCATTATTATCCTTTCCCTTCTTTTCTCTCTTTTGTGTTATCCAAACAACAATATTGTCAATTCCTTTCTTTTAATTCTCTCCTATCTATCCAAACATGAATATAAATTAAATTATAGCTACACTTTCTTTTCTTTTCTTTTCTCTCATAATCCTTTCTTTTCTTTTCTTTCTTGTGTATCCAAACGAAGCCTTAGGGTCTCTCTTCTCTCTCTCCATGCAAATTTCCATATCCAACCTCCATCTGCATACAAAGTTACAAACCAACCAAGACTCATAAGTGACATAAAACTGTACCAATCATAATTTGCGATATTCACAAAATTCTAATCGTTCTTTTCATATTTTCCACCCATGAGAGAAAGAGTAAGGGGCGGCTTGATGTAACTAGGGCCTTAGGCAAAAAAATAAAAAGTGGTCTTTTCATATCATAATATATAATATATTCAGTATTAAATAATAATAATTAAAAATCATCCTTCTTGCTTTTTGAGATACAAAATTACTAATTAAATTCTTATATTCAAGTGTAGTTAAAATATATTTTTCAATAGACAATATAACCAATTCATTTAAGCTTTCTTGAGACACAGTTGATCATAGATATGATTTTATCAACTTTTTGCTAGGTTTTGATTATTCATTGTAAAAAATTTATAATTAGCTCCCTTTTAAGTCACAAACAAATATATGAAAAATATAGATATATGCAAATTTAAAATAACAAAAGTTAATAAAACTAAAATTTAATTAAAGAAAAAGAACAATATAACCTGATTTAGAAAGCCCCAATTCAATGCTACTGTAAATTCTTCAATACAAGAAAAATGCATTCAAATTGAGACTAGTGAATATTGATTCGAGAAGAAAGAAAATTGTAAAGTTGTAATGAGAGAGAACTGAGGAGGGAGATGACTCGTAACTTTTGAGTTTGTTGAGAGAGAAGAGAATGAACGGGAGGAATAAGAAAAAAAATAAAAAATAAAAACTAGAAAAAGAGAATATGGAAAGTTTATTCACTTTCCCATCCAATGGTTAACATCTTTAATATTTACTGTGGTGCAACTTACCAAAATATATATATATATATATATATATATATATATATATATATATAGAGAGAGAGAGAGAGAGAGTGTGTGCTCGTGTAAAAAAATGTTTGTAGAGGAGAGAGAAAAAATGAGTTATTTTAAGAGATAAACTTGGTTAAAGTTTAATTAAAAAGCTCTTTAGAATTAGTGTTTAACAATGTTAAGAAACAATTACAATATAACTTAATTATATAAGAGAACTATAATATTTTGAGGGGTTGAGGCTTTAGGCGGTCGCGTAAGGCTCGAGCCACCCCTGGGAGAGAGGGAAAAAAGATTAATTACCAAAGATGGAAAACATAGATCTAACATTGACAAAACATAGACTTACTAGAAAAACTCTATTCATACAAGTTAACATCAAATTTTCATATAATATTTTAATATCATATTCGTTCCAGTAATATAATAATTTATATGAATATGAGATTTTCTCACATATATGAATAGGTGTATTTTATTAGGTACATGAATTTAGTAATTTTTCAATTTCATATGGAGGTTGGGTATGGTAACAATAGTGATTGTTTTGGAAAGACAAAAAAAAATTGTATATATATATATATAGGGTTTAATTGAATAAGTATGGGTAATGGCTATTTTTAAAAAAATTAAAATTTTAAACATATGTTCAAATTGTATTAAACCACATGAGCTGGGAGGATGAACTGGACCCAAGTACTATCCATAATAAAAAGATTAAAACTAATGAAAGCTCGGCGTCACTTTCTTGTTCTTTTATTATTTTATTATTTTTTAGTTTTAATTTTTTAATACTAGTTTTTATGAGACAATACGTATAATGTTGATCTATTAACATTTAATTTTATGATATTTACAAAAAATAAATATACAAAGAAAAAAAAGAGAGAAACTTTTGTCACGAACTGGCTCATTATATCACCAGTTGGTAACAAACTTGATTAATCTTTTGAAATGCCAGCAGTCTTATGGGACTATTGGTAACCACCCATCGCCCTGCTCTTCCCCAATTATCTTTCTATATATATATATATATATGTTTATGAATATATGTATATAATATACAAATTGATTATATATATTAAAATTTTTAATTTTAGTTTTGTCACTTGGTGGTGGCGGTGGCGGGTGGAGAGAGATACGGAGGTAATGGAGGAGATTAAAAGGCATATTGAATTGAGGGTATTTTGGTTATTTACTTGAGTTGATATTTTGGTCCAAAATATAATATTTTATTAAGGGACAACTTCAACCTTTCGTATTGTTTTAAAGATGATTGGGTGTAATTGTTCAATTTGAAAATTTTGGAGGTTTTCTTGTCCACCAAAAATTTTGGGGAGTGTTTTGTCAAAGTTGTAAATGGTTGTTTTTAATCCAAATATGAGGTGTTATTGCAATTTATTCATTAAAAAATATATTTTTAAATCAGTAATACATTTGAGAAATATTAGACACGTATTCGTAAATATCCAAGAAATGTCGGTATTCTATTCGATACTGATGCAATATGAGTATGTTGACCTTGTAAAAGTATTATCCATAGTATTATATAACATTTAATATTAAATCCAAAATTACAAAATAAGAAAGGATAAATCACTTCCCATGCATCCACAAAATTTCTTATTTCCTTCATACAATCTCGACTGAATCCAAAGTTCAAAAAAAAAATTTACTTGCCTCCTCTACTGCAAGCCTCTTATGTTTAGTTTGTGATCAGATCATCAAACCAACTAGCATTTACAATTAAAAAAGAAAAGAAAAAAGAAAAATAATAATAATACTACTACTTTGAGAATGATTTTCTCATTCAACAAGATAATGTATACCTTGAGAATGAATATGATGATCCATAAAGCTCAATCAATCTTCCAATCCCTTCTTTCTGGACTTGGACATCAATTGGTACCTTCTTGACTTGGATATCATTTGGTCCCTTATCAAACACCTTTGCAATATTTCCTCAAAGTCTTCTTCTTCACAAGGAATCCTCAGCCCACCTTCTTGCTCATATCCAAATTCCTCAGCTACTTTCTCCATCAATTCCTGGAAATCCGGCATGGACAGGTAGGTTGCCGGGATCACGAATCTCCTCAGCTCCGGCCCTACGTAAACCGCCAGTGACCCTTTCGGAACTTGCCTCCATTTCTCTTGATGACCATCGGACAGTTCTCCAACCATCAACAGCTTCTCATTGGGGTCCCGAGAACCGGCCTTTCCGGTCAATGCTTTAGGTATGTAGTGCAAGGTTTCCCTGCATGGCCGGAAAATGCCCTTGTGCCACTCTACCCTCATCCTGCTGCTTAAACTCATGCTGATCAATGAGAGCTCTTTTATGTAAATTGTTTTATAAAATATACAGAAATAAATTTTATAAATATATAGTTATCATGTATTTAGGCGCCATTGATAAAATGGGAATTAATATACAATATATACAAGTGGTCATTTGAAAATTTATTCTTTCGTCGAAATTTTTGAAAATTTGAACTAAATATGTTGAATAAGAATGGGAAATAATAACTCATATAAATAACAGAGAAGAAAGGGTTGTTCTGTATTTTCTTGTTAGCTGCAGAGAAAAGGCCTTTTGGATAATAATAAAAAAAAAAAAGACTCTTTTTCTCTGCCACAGAGGGAGAGAGAATAAAAAGAAGAATAAAATCTGAAAAATATAGGGTTTGTGATGATGTATTTGAAGGCCCAGAGAATTTGAATGAGAATCGTTTCCTACGTTGGAGACAGCAATGAACAATCCGTTGACACCCCCCATTCTATGTTGGGCGTTTCACCACCGGCTAGCTGTCTCACAACTTTCCTCTAATTTTGGCGGGTGGTGTTCTATATTTGGCGGCACTACTAACGGTCACAAGATGCTATATATCTCTATATATACATATATCTATTTATCTATCCATCTACATATCATGGCACGCGTATCACTTTTTGGGAGATTCTATGTATCTTCACACTCGTTACTTGCTAAACTATAACTCCCTTGATATCTTCACTATATTTACGTCTGGGTTTATATCATCTCAATATATATATATATATATTTGAAATTACACGAAAACTCTTTTACAAGATGAATTGCATTTTTGATAAAGAAGACGTTTAGACAAATAACTATACTTAGAGAGACATATTCGAATTCATGCAATATAAATGTCTCAGTGAGACAAATATTCCAGTTCATGCATATAATATAAGTATGTTATAGATACCATATGCAATATAGATAATGTTGAGACACATGTGAGTTTGACGGTCTTTCTGTTGGCGCCAAATCCGATCGGCAGTTATTTGATAGCATCGTCCCCTTTAAATTTATCCATGTTTTGTCCCCATGTACCATTGTGGAGATCAGTAAGCTCACCAAGTAAGACTCATTTGAGCTGTAAGTAGTTGACCTTTTTATCCTTTTTTTTTTTTCCTTCACAAATAACTAAGATTCAATTGTCCCTGTAGCGACTCGTTACTCTAAAACAGATCACTAAGTTCTGTCCCAAATTACTCATCTTATTAGTATTATTTCACTTTGGAAGAAATCAAAGCACACAAGGAAAACCAACAATTGGTTGACAAAATATATTCTCATGTACTTTCATCTCTTTATTAGGAAATAATAATATTATAATTTTATTTACTTGAATATCTTTTACAAATATAAAGATTAAATTATAATTCATTTTCAATTCCAAATCTAACCAAAAAAAAATCAACCAAAATTACAATTATATATTCTAATTCCAACTCTGTAAACAGGGGAGCCATGAACAATAATCTACTCTATAAAGTGAAGGGCAATTTCTTAACAAAAGATCAGGGTTTCAGTGTCAAACTTGTCAGCAGTACAAACAGTTGTTATTGTCTTGAATAACGGTCCACAAGTGCCTTGGCTTTTTCAGGTGCAAAGAACCGTGCCTGCGCACAACCATTATGTCATATAACTACGTCATAGTTTCATGCATATTTATTTGAACAGAAATATCTCAAATATTTTACGGAAACCCAACAGCTGCAAAGTTTTGAAAATGAGCAGATCAATCAAAGTAATAGCATCTTAGGAATGACAGCAGGTTGATCTCAACCGAACCAAACTTGCATTTTGGAATCCATACCAAAGCAACGACTTGCAACCCATCCTAGTAGGGGTTAAAGGTTTAGGTGACCCAGCCAACCATATCAATGTGCAAATAAAAAAAGTAATGTTTATAATTCATAGTGGAGATATTCTATGTGAAGTAAAGAAGCAAAATTATGCTTTATGTTCATGCCACCTTATATCAGCATTACTGATCGGAAAAAACCTTGTCTCCTATGCCCCCACCACTGACAAGTAATTGTGTGGATGTCTGCCTGTACTTGAGCGTGTGCATACCCATGTGTACGACTCTGTATGGGTGTGTGTGTGTCCGACTTTCTACATGCGTGCAAACGTGAAAATATTCGTACTTACTTGAATAAACATCCTCTCTGCGTCTCCAACTTTACCATTTTCTTTCAAAATAATTCCCTGCACAAGCGTTAAAAATTGGCCTGCAACTTAATTCAATTTTTTCCCAGAGGTAATGGTAAGCAGGACAATGAAAGGAAGTCATTTTACAAATGAATGGAGAAAAGTGGAAAAACACATTTGAGAGGTACAAGTATCAAAAAAATAACAGACAATTATATAAATATCTTCTCTGCATACCAGCTTAACCAGCCACCTTCAGTGTTAGGTACTGTTAAATTGCTTTTGCATGGTATACAATAACAAAATTTTATTTCTTTTGGTACTTCTATTTTCAGATTTTTTTTTTTTTGGTACTTCTAAATGGTAGCTGATCTTCAACAAAATATTCAGAATAAAAAATAGCCAAAAGAATTATTGATGCACAAGCACTGAAGTTTAGCAACCTTGTAGTTGAAGAAAAAATCTTCGATGCTTACTGCCGTTACCATGCTGAAAAGCTCATGTCTTGTTAAGAGTCGTAGGAAGGTAATAACAATCTCTCTCTCCACAACAATCACATTTTATATTAGACTTCATTATACATATAAAGTAGTCCAAGTCAGAAATTGATACAAAAGCATCTGTTGTGAGGTGAAGATATGTCCAGTTCCGGGTGTTCCTTGCAAGCTGGATACTGAAAAGGCGTACGACCATGTGAGCTGGTGTTTCCTTCTCTAGCTGTTGGAGAGGATGGGTTTTGGTGGGCGGTGGAGGAGATGGATTCTTTTTTGCATTTCTAGCGCTTGGTTCTCTGTCCTTGTGAATGGAGCTCCGACGGGTTTTTTCTCTAGCTCGAGGGGCTTGAGACGAGGGGATCCGCTTTCCCCTTTCTTGTTCCTTTTTGTGATGGAGGCTCTTAGCAGATTGCTGAAGAGGGCTGTGGAGCTGGGTTTTTTGAGAGGTTTTCGAGTGGGCAGGGATGTTGCTAGTCAATTGGAGGTTTCCCATTTGATGTTTGTGGATGACACTATTGTGTTTTGTGATGCGGACGCGTCCCAGTTGAGGTATTTGAGATGCGTTTTGATTTGGTTTCAAGTTGTTTCTGGCCTTAAGGTTAACGTTGGCAAGAGTCTTCTTGTGCCTGTTGGGGATGTTCCTGAGATTGAGTTGTTTGCTCAGATCCTTGGATGTTGTACTGGCTCTTTTCTCATTTCTTACTTAGGATTGCCTTTGGGAGCCCCTTCGAGATGTGTGGGGAGCTGGGATCTGGTTGTGGATAGATTCGAGAGGAGGTTGGCGGGTTGGAAAAAGCAGTACCTGTCCAAGGGGGGTCGGGTTACCCTGATTAAGAGCACCCTTTCTAGCCTTCCTACTTACTTCATCTCTCTGTTTCAGATTCCTTCTTCAGTGGCTGAGAGAATTGAAAGATTGCAATGCAACTTTCTTTGGGGGGGGAAGAGTTCAAGTTTCACTTGGTTCGGTGGGATCAAGTGTGCCGTCCAATTCGGTTTGGAGGCTTAGAGTTAAGGAGGTTGTTGCCTTTTAATAAGGCTCTCCTTGGTAAATGGCTCTGGCGGTTTGGGATTGAGAGGCATTGGCTATGGAGGAGAGTTATTGCGAGCAAATTTAGAGAAAGTAGCGGTGGGTGGTGCTCTCTTGCGATGCGTGGCCCAAGGGGGGTGGGAGTTTGGAATTTCATTCAGAGGGGTTGGGATGATTTCTGCAAGCATGTTCGTTTCCGAATTAAAGATGGAAGGAGGATCAGTTTTTGGAAGGATCTCTGGTGTGGGGAACTCCCTCTTGCTCTCGCTTTCCTATGGCTCTATAGGATTGCTTCTCACAGACAGGCCATGGTTGTTGACTGTTATCATCTTAATAACGGGAGACTAACTTGGGATGTTCAGTTCAGGAGGCATTTTCAGGATTGGGAGATCAAGGATGTTTCTCGCTTTCTGGAGCTTCTGTATAGCCAGGTGATCTCTTTTGGGGAGTCGGATCGTTGGTTCTGGGTTCCTAACTCGCAAGGCAGTTTTGAGGTTAGGTCCTTTTTCAGATGCCTTTCGTTTAGTCACGGAGACCCCTTCCCCTGGAAGTCTATTTGGCGTTCCAAGACTCCCCGCAAGGTCGCCTTTTTTGCTTGGACCTCTGTCCTGGGTAAGATTTTAACCCAGGATAATTTGAGGAAGAGGAATTAGGTGGTGGTCAATCATTGTTATATGTGCTTGTGCAATGAGGAGTCAGTTGATCACCTCCTTTTACATTGCATCATGGCCAGAGATTGTTGGGATTTGATGCTTGGTTTATTTGGGGTCCATTGGGCTATGCCTTGTTCCTCTTGAGGGTTGATTGAGGCTTGGAGAGACGTCTCTGTGGGGGCTTCCATTCGTGATGCTTGGAGGACTACGCTGCTTTGTATTTGGTGGTGTATTTGGCTCGAGAGAAATATGAGATATTTTGATGGAAAAAAGAAGCCTGTTTCTATGCTTAAGTTTTCTGTTATTTCTACTCTTTTTTGTTGGGTTTCAGGGAGAGATTATAGATCTACGGAGGAGATTATTGTTTTTTTGGCCTCTCTGAAGGTCTAAGGCGCCCTTTGGCCCTTTTGTTTCTTTAGGTTCCGCTCCCCTTTTGAGCGTTTTTAATAAATTCTTACTTATCAAAAAAAATATATATATTCATTTTGTCGATCGAAAGTAATGTTTGTTGATTTATACCGCGCTTTTCTTCATTACAACTGTTCATCTTCCATTATATTCCTTTTTCACAACTTTGTTTGACAATGCTAAATGCATGCAAACACAATGGGACACAAATACTGAAGGATTATCATGGAAAATTATTTGCCAACTTCCTTTTCTTCAGTAATTCATTCTTTGTCAACTTCCCTTGAAATTATTGCTGAAATTCAGTTTTCATGATTGCAGTAAAGGTCAAAAGGGTCATTAGCCATGCAATCCTGGTCAATCGGGGGTGTTGTGATGGGTAGACTGGATACTGTGCAAAACACTGGTAATATTTGTACAACGTGACTGCTTTTAGGACCATGCTTGACAGCCTGAGCTTTTACCACTACACTGAAAATAGCCCCCCTCATTGTGGTAAAAGTGGATCATCTAAATAGTCTAATAAAAATATTCAAGCTTAGAGATTGAAATAAGGATTATTTTGCATTGTCTGCAGATGAAAACTTCTTCATCAATAAAAAACACGACATAGCTTAGACTTCAAGTAAGTTCTTAGTCAAGGTAAGGCTCTTCGTTTTCTAATAGTCAGGTATCCATCCAACAAGATCCAGAAACTTCTAGAAAGTTGAAGAAAAAAACTAATGTAAACCATTCAGGATTCTGGGGCAAAAAAGGCACCTTGGCTAAGTAACCCCGAAAGTCATTGGGATGGCTAGAAATGAGTCGATCATAAACAGAAACAGCATCACTGACATGGCCCCAATCTGAGTAGGCTTTTCCAAGAAGCAATTCAACCTGAAATAATTATTTTAACTGTAAATCATATGGCCCAAGAAAGAAGGAAAAATAAAATCTAAAAACACACACACACACACACAATTACACATCATAGTGACCTACCAAAAATCGAAATTGAATACGCCATGTCAAATTTTAGAGCTGCTCAAACTAATTTCTTAAAATAAATAGAATTAGCATTAATTGCAACTTAAAATCATGATTGAAGTTCCTGAAAGTATAGTTTTATTGACATTGAACATGAGAAATGTAATTTTAATAAATACAACGGAAATAGGGAAGCTTTTAGGTTTCTTTCAAGGCATCTCTAGGGTTTTATAGTTGATAATGGCTCAAGAGTCAACATTGTCCCCAGATGTGCAAAATTGAATCTTTTCAAACCAGATGGTACTTTCTTTGGCTTCCCTGAAAAGCCTATCTTCACTATGGTTCTTGTAGTTTCTTTTCTTGCAGGAATATAAATGAAAAAAAACAAAAAACATAAAGAAAAAGACAAAAGAAGAAACGCCATACTAAGTACCCCCAAGGTTGATCCCTCCCTTTATGACCAGAACCCAGAAGCGGGGATATCAAAGGCTTGGGAATAATATAATTTTCACTCATGGATGATAGGGGACTTCCAGGATGCAATTTTCTCTTTCCATCATTTGTCCTTCTTTAGCATTTACTTGAGAAAAATGATATTTGAAACATATTTGTAGTAAATATGTAGAAACATAGAATAGTAACCCCATTAACATTGACAAATAAAAAAACAAGAAAAAGAAAAAGACTGAAGCACATAAGAATCTGTGATTAAACATTCTTTATCATTTCTACACCAAAATTACATAATGTTGTCCTAAGTTTACTGAAAACAAGGACATGGGGAGAAGAATGAACTTAAGCCACCTTGACATATATTATCAACTAAAATAAAAACCAGTATGGGAGTGCATATACAGGTCGATTATACATGTCATATTATCAAAATATAAAGGCCACGTATGAGGTGAATGAAGAATGTATGTTTGCTTAATTTCCATAATATTAAACCAAAATAAGGGGGGAAAGGTCATTCCAGTTCAATAGATATTATTAATCTCAACAAAGTATCCCTTGTATTGTGCAGCAAAGATGATAAGTTTTGAAGGTTTGGGGAAATCATTCAATTAACTTCTTGATGGAAGTGCAGCACAATCTTACAAGCTATATATAAATAATTGGCAAACAAAATTAACTCCTGACAACAGTGCAATTCCAGTGATGCTTAGATTTGCAACCCATTGCTGGGAGATCACAACTCACTTGAATGGGGTCCACCTTCTGAAGTGCCGCTTCCACTGTACTGCTGTCAGCCTTGCTATTAAGATCATCTGATTTTTCTATATTCAGACGTTCACGAGAGGCCAGAAGGAACTGAACCGCCTGCTTATTGCATAAGCATTAAAAGGAAAAAAATGTAATTTGCTCCTTGTCTGCTAATGTTTCAGGCTACATATATTTACAACATGAGTATCAAATGCAAAATTTGACATGATATTGGCAAAAACAATACGTGTCAATCATCAATTAGACGGAAAGGGTAGCTAAACAATTTACCACTGTTAACAACCATCTACTCCAAAAGCTTAAAATGTTAGAAAGGGTGTAACTTTAATATTTTAATTCTCTAACTCTCCCCCTCACACGTGATCTTCTTTTGGTCCAAGACGTGTTTCAATTTTAATTATCAGGGTGACAATGAGGTTTGAACTCATGACCTTACCTGCTCTGATACCATGTTAAACAATGAGGTTTGAACTCTTGACCTAATCTGCTCTAATACCATGTTAACAACCATCTACTCCAAAAGCTTAAGCTATTAGAGAGGGTGTAACTCAAATATTTTAATCCTCTAACAATTACCCATAAAAATAATTTAAAATTTAATCTTCTTGGAGTATTAGTGCAAATGTATGGAAAATGAATATTGATTCAATTATTTACAGTTACAGAACTAAACATCACGATTGCAAAAATAACCTTGACCATATGTGTCTACTTCCACCACTCTTGACAAAGAAATAGATTGAATAGAAATCATTAAATTAAACCATAAAATCAAAGAAACATCCCCTTATTGTAGCAATTTGAATTGTAACTGGAATCCAAAATTTAATCAAGGCCTAGGTCTAGAACACCACCAGCTGTTACCTTGAAAGGTATTTCCAGCCACCCAGAAAGGGAGCTGCAGGGTTCAAGTCCTGATCAGGATACTGGTGTCAACGAAAAAAGAAAAACAAGCTCAAAGAACAAATTCACATTCTCTACAGTTCAAACCCAAATAGAAACCCATAAATCACAGCCAGAGATGAGAGAAAAGCGAGATTCTTAGGGTGCACCTTTTGACTTTAAAGTTACACTCGTCTCTTCATCATTTAGTTAATTCAATGGTGAAAAAGGAGCAATCTCTCAGCAAATATTGCCACTTTATATATGTGTGTGTGTGTGTCTATATATATATATATATTAAAAGCCACTAGGTCACTACCCAGTGTTTGTCCAGCATCTGTATGTTCATGCAACTCCAATTTTCAACTATAACCATCTTACTTGGAAATTCAAACATACATACAGATATAAGTTATAACAGTTCAATTTAAAGGTACATAGCTTCAACAGGTAGTAAGATGTATTATACAATATTTACAATAACAGAGCAGTATAGAGTAACTATATCCCATTGGATAATGACCCACCTCATCTGGTTTCTTAGCAGCAAGCAATGCATTTGTAAGACCACGCAGAACTTCAAAATCAATATTTTTAGACACCTGCCAGGTAATAAAAAGAAGAGTCACAGAGAGCCAAGTGTACTTATTGTAAGGGTTAAAGAAACTAGACTACCAAATAAATAATCAAAATGCACATAATATGCGAAAATATTACTGTAATGCCAAATTTTTACTCTGAAAATTTCTTTAAAATGAGTATTGCAGATCTCTATAATGGTTATTACTCTCAATAAAGTTAGGACAAAGCTTTGTTGAATAGAGCTGAGTTTCACATATTCTTTGAGCATACTACAATTAAAATAAAACAAAATCATAACAAAAAAAAAAAAAATTGGTTAGGTAACCATAACAAAATTTACATGAAACTGTTATTATAGTTTACAAGGATCTGAAGATGCATTAAAACCATGCAACAGTTATCCAAGTCACATGGAATTTATCTAAAACAAGAGCTATTTTAGAGTTGTATTTGGACAAATTTTTACAGTAAGAAATTATGCGTATGTGGTTGAAGTATGGAGTGAAAATTCATACTTATGTTCCTCAGCACAATATATATATATATATATATATATATATTTCCGGAAGGTAACCTCAGCACATTCATAAGCAAGAAAAGATGGACCTGATTCTAAGTGCCCAACCTGGTGTCTACATGTGTAATGTTTTGGCAACCTTTTAACACAGAAATCAGGAAAAAGCTCAAAGTATCCCACATATAGGGCAGACCAACCATTGCAGAATTCCTATATGCAGCAGCACTCCCTTCATAATCTTTAAGTTGATACTTAACTTCTCCAAGCAAACGCAAAGCATCAAGGTCGGGTCTCTTCTATAGAAGACAATAAAATTTTCACAATTAGAGTAATCAGCACAAAAAATTCCAAATGGCTTGACCTTCTTAACTAAATTTAATGCCAAATCAAACAAGAACAAACCTTGGTCAAATCCTCAAGAAGAGAGGCAGCCTTAGAATACTCTCCTAATTCAGTTAAGGTTACTGCCGCTCCCTGCAAAACCACTTGAATAAATTTGAAATGGTTGACACGAGCATACACACCCAAATTTATAAGAAACAGTTGGCATATCATATCTAAAGGGACAAAACATATAATTTAACATAAGAAATGGGTCATTGTTAAAATCCAATGCAGGTAGCATTCCACTAATAGTAGAAACAATGATCACTTTATACTACTATCGATTTTTCTCAACACATTGAAAACAAATTGGGAACAACAAGTTTAAATTTAATTTTGTTTTACTTCGACAATTTTTTTTTGGGTAAGGTTTATTCTCAAGATTAGGTTTGCAGAGTTAGTAAAGAAAGCTATACTAGCATGTGCTTTAATTTAATGCTTAACGGAAGGGCAAAACATAATCTATGGAACTCACTCCAAATGGTTGGAAAAAGAGTTTATTGATTTGAATAATTTCAATCGCAAAGCCAGACTCTTGTAGCAGAACCCACAAAATTGGGGTCTTAGTGACCTGTACCATCCTTCTATATAGATAGTCACCAATACTCTAGTAAGTGGTCTTAAAGCTGATTGATTAGTGTAACATTTGAACCATAAAATTATAGAGTGTATTGAGAATATGCAGAGCATTCCAAAGAAAATATACCCACTCCGCCCTAGAGAGAGAGAGTCTTTTCATTGGAGCAAGTCAGAAACATAAGCTGCGTGCAAAGCAGTTATAAAATAAAAAGGGTTCAAAGTGAACCCCCTTTCCTCCATAAAATCAGAAGGGTTCAAAGTAAACCCTCTCTCCCCGTTACATCAGACAAGTGGAAGAATTTGCTGGGGTCAGCACAAGGATAAATTAAGTACATGAATTGTAAAAATTACGTCAAAAGATTATAGCCTAAGAAGCAGAAAGCAGTAACAATAGAAGAGTCATTCCGTAACAATTATGACTCACTTCAAGAGCAGTTGGATCTTCGGGGGAGATTTTAAGCATTGCTTCATACTGTTGCAGTCTGGTCTGCCAAATTCAAACAATACGATGGAAGAAAAATTATATTTTGTGGAATTATAGTAAACTTCCAAAACTTAAATTTGAAAAACATTTTTTGCCTATTTTAACAACTTTACCTGAAGTTTTGCTTTCTCTTCTCCTGAAGGTTTATTATTGACCACCGGGGCATCCTCAGTGGGACTAACACTGCAAAACAGAACTTCATATCATGACCAAATTATGTTTTAGAAAATGCAAATAATGAACTGTTTGAACCGGTAAAAGATCAAAAACAAAAGGGATAGACGACAAGGATCCAACATTTTCAGGCCCATAGCATTACGAGTTTTCTTTAAAGCAAAAATTTTGTATTATTAATGGAGTTCCAGACATTCAGTTTATTGTGGAATTCATGAAAATATAGATTTAAGCAAGTTAGCAAAGAGATATCTGAAATTAAGAAAAGCAAGAGACTAATACACAGTTTTCAGAACTACTAAAGTGAACTTGCAGAGTCATGCTAATTCAACTCAACCTCACAGTGCCTCAATGAAAGCAGCATTCTAAATTAATCAGATGGATGTCAAACTTTACCATGCCTCTTGAAATACGCTCCTTGTAACTCATATATCATTACTTACAATGATGGGATATTCTTGTGGAATACGGAAATATCAGCTATTAGATACTAACTACTTTTTAAAGGCCTTAAACAGAGTTAGAATAACATATGTACTTATAAAATCTCATCAAGCCATGATCATTGACAAAATTTACTGCTAGAGACTAGAACCCATGTGAATATACTGCTATGAAATATACTGAGCAATAAATTATAGGAAAAGTTTATGAAGAAATGACGTTTTTAAAATAGTGAGGCAAGGAACATATCAGCAGAAAAAAATCTCATTAATTAATCAATCACTTATTGCAAGAGTGGATAGGATATATAATAGATTACCTTCCCGTGCTGCAAACTATCTGGAAATCTGATAGGTACACTGGGTATTTAAAGGGATGCAATCTATATACTCACAAGTTTGACAGACTAGTCATTGAAAGGAAGGTTGAATTAAAGTGTACTCCTTCAACTAGAGCTCCAATTAATTAAGAGAAGGTTAATTTAAGGAAAAAGTTCCCTTCCATATTCCATTGGGAAGACAAGAAAGATGTCGACTTGAGAACCTATTTAGGTAGGAGTAAGCCATCACAACACCTTTCATGCACCAAGGAGCGTGGCAAAACAAAACTAGTGCTTTTGGTCTAAGGAAAGACATTTAAACCCTTATTTGCTTTGAAGATAATTTTTGTATGGAGATCTATCTGGTGAAAACTTTCACTTTATTGTATCATACCTTCCAGAGGGAAGAAAGTCTCCAAGAGCAAAAACCAACCCGAAAACCACGACAGCAACTCCTACTCCAATCTAGTCCAGGTCAAAGTCCCAATTAGTGATCCCTGCACATATGAAGAATGCTCCATACTTGCAGCCAAGACATAGATTTGCATCAAATTCACCACAGAACCATTACCTTAGTACCAAGTCCGATTGTGCTACCCTTGGACTCCATCGGCGCATCATAGTCAATTGCTCCATATTCTTTAACTTCGTCTGCTTTCTTCTGCTCAAGCGCCGACCTGAATGATGTTTAGAAGTGCTAATTATCATTAAACTGATTTCGAGCTTAGTGCGTAATTGCAAAAAATTCATCCAATAATACAGCATTATGAGCTATTGGGTTAAAAAAAATACAAATAATGATTGACAAGATGGAGTAACAAATTTCTGAATGTAACTAATTAAAATTAATATGGAGATCAGTACAATTTGACTTTTTTTCCAAGTAACGTGTCCAAAACCTGAATGATAGCAGTAAATTAGAAGTCATAGCACTTCTAAGAGTTTCAGAATCGCATCAATGCAAGTGTTCTTGACTTACTATTCCTATCTAAACCAAAACATATCTACCAAATTCTGCTGTTCAAAAGGATTTATGGTGAGAAATAGGAAAGGAACAGTCGGTGATCCAACATAATTTCAATAACTTTGAGCATCCCAGACATTCATATCCGCAATAATCAAATCAGATTCCTTAGTTTTAACATTTTTCCATTTACTCTTTTCTGTTTAAATAATTTTTGCAATTTGATACTGCTACTGCACATCATCAAAAAAATCACTCACAATATTAGGGATGACAACAAATAAGAGAGAAATATAGGGGCATCTGAGTTATTTGATTCTTTCATGTATATATATACTAAGATAAAAAGCACATGCAATTGCACGTAATTACAACTTTTGGTCTAGCACTTAAAAAAAAATGGATATGTATACTGAAAAATACGAATTTCTTCTAGATTATGTGAGGTGATAAACTTTATGCATGACACTTACAACAGCAGCAACAACAGGAAGTATAATAATTTAAGTCTTACTTATCATCCCTCTCTATCACTTTGGGTCATTAGCATCCTCACATCTTTCCAATAATTTTGTGCATTACTAAAAACAGGGTGGAGAATGAACCTATGTCACATAACATTGGCAGAATTAGTATACTATATCATCATAATTGAAAAATATCTTTAATTTAAAATTTAATGATATCTCATATTATTTTAATTCCATGTAACGAATTTATCAGGAGTCAATCTCAGTGTTTTTGGCTTATTCTGCCAAAAAAAATGAATCAGTTAGTAGTAAAATCAACATACAGTTATTTTATATATATATAAAAAATCTAAATTGAAACTTTTAAGCAAATAATTAACAATTAGAATATGATTTACGAAAAAAATGAAAAGAAATACAACCATTCGAGTTTCCTAACTATGACTTTTTTCTAATTGAAGTGGACATAGTGTCAGTTAAAACTTGTATATAAAAAAATAAAGCATCACACGTTTATAAAAAATTTCTCTCATCACAGTTAAAAAGACTTTGTCGGAATTAGGATAGAGTGGAATGACTTTGAGCCTCCAAAAGAAACCATTTGTTGGTCTAGAATCGGAAATAAAAGTACAAAATTAATTAAATATTAGTTTTAGTATTATAACGTGAATTTAGGATATAAGTATAGTAAAATGTAAAGTCTATAATTTTCAAAAAGTAAAAAGAAAAAGAAAAGTCTATCACATATACACACCATAAATTCGTCTTAACGGGGTTGTAGATTTATGAGAAGCTTTTAAAAATGAAAATAAATAGTAAAAAAAAAAAAATTAAATATATAATTAGTAATAATTGGTAAAATTAATGTTTATAAAGTTTCCTACTAACTGGATTTACATCACCAAGATAAAAGGATCAATAAGGTGTTTGGTATTTTGATAATTTGAGTTGCCTCCTCTTCCAATGCCTTCCACCAAAAGGTGCTTAGGTACTATATACATAAGATCATCCAATAGTCTTATTTTCAGATCAAAGAGAGATAAAAATTAAATTCTAACATTTGGTAGCCTCCTTGTACAACCAACAGAGATCCTATTTGAAATACTGAAGAGGTCAAAACAAGCCAAATCAAACACAAATAAAGGAAATTGAAAAAAAAAAAAGTGCAATTTAGAAAATCAATATGAACAATTACATTCTTACATTTGGTCGGCACTTGTCAGAGGTTACCAGTTGTACAACAAACATTGTGAAATTATGAACTCTTCGTCCTGCTTTTTGTGTAGGAAAATGAACGGAGCTACTTGACGGAATTGAAACTCTATTTCACTTGACAGAATACTCCTCTGAAATTGATCTCCATTGACAATGAATTGTGTTCGATCTTGTCTGGTCATTCGTTACCGAAGCATTGAAAAAGAAATATTTAATATAGATGGGAAGGGGCAAAAGGAACATAGAAGTCTAAGACGCTCTTTGTGATGCCGTGCGTGGGTAAGCCCTAGGTACTGAAATATTTTCTGTTGGGAGAGTAAGTAGAAGGAGAGAAGCAACGTTTGTTGGAAGAGTAAAGTAGAAGGAGAGAAGCAACGTTAAAAACCAAGGAGCTTTAGGAACGTCTGTTGAATGACCCCGGTATTTATAGATGCATGAAATGAAAAGGTGTCTTAGTAAAAAAAAGGTGTCTTAGTTAAAAGATGTGAATTTATAAGGTGGAATTATATAATTTTAATCGGTTTCAACTTGCAAACATCTCTCTGACACAACTCTTCATAAATTTTTTTTTTTTTTTTTTATAAAAATAATGTTTAATTGAATGGGTGTTTCATAATGGACGCAATTCTTGAAAAAAGAGAAGAAAAGTTTCATTTAGATGCCACTACTAAAAAGGAGAAGAAAAGTCACGTAATGAACTAATGATAGTATATAATAATAATGTCTCAAAAGATTCAACAACTAAAAAAATTGATTAAGTCAGGAGAGACCTTAAAAAATTCTTACAATTTAATTGAATATCAACAAAACAAAAATTAGACACTTAAAAAAATCTAGTAGGTCATTAACAAAAATAGTAGTAACTACTGGACTCTTTTTTTTTTTCTTTCCAAAGAGGTGTTAGACGTGAAATAGGTACCTTTTCAAGAATTTAAAGAGGTGTTAGTAGTTAAATAGGTACATTTTCAAGAATTTAAAGAGGCGTAAGTATTTAAGTAGACAACTGGTTTAATTTAAACGAAAAGTCACTTGTTTTGTATTATAAATAACTTTTTAAAATGTACATAAATATTATAAATAGAATTCACTTTTATAAGGGATATATAGATATATATATATTTTTTCCTAGTTATTCTTTCATGTATATTTATACATACATGCATGCATTTGTTGGCATTGTGTGTGCGCACACATGTGAGAGAGAGAGCATTAATATACACACTCTTCTAGTGAAATGCAACAATCTTTTAGAAAAAATAAGACAACTCGGATGTTATAATGCTCCTCTGAACAGTACCAAATATTAGAAAATCCAATTTATGGACAAAAATTAAATGCCTCTGATAAACATGTGGTCTATGGGAAAATATGAGCATCATACCTTTTAACTGCTTCCAGCCGTTTCTCAAACTCAACATCGAAGGCAATATTCCTTGATTTTTCTTCAGTACGAGGATTCAGCCCGGGTGCCTCTTCAAGGAAAAAGCCAATTTAGCAAAAATGCAAGAGAATATAGTAGAGGAACATAAAAAGCAAGTCCAGTCAATATAGATGAAGAACAATGAGAAATGGGTAAAATAGCACAGGGTGCCGTAAATGGCCATGGGACTATAGGTTGTGGGGCCTATCAGGATAGATGCAACAAAGGATAAATGTTAAATATTCCAAATATCAAATTGAAGCATAGAAGTGTCAGCAAAGAGGCAGTACGAGAAGTAGTATGTGATCTCCATCAATAGTTGGAGCAAAAAATAGCCCAATTCTTTGACCAAGTATGTTATCAACCGGCATCAAGCTAATGCCCAGTGATCAATAATTGGAGCAAATATATGCCAACCTTGTATTAATTTGAAGGTGAAACTGTGAGGCACCTAAAACTATTACCTAAACAAACAGCTCAAAATCCCAGACTTCAAAAAAACTCGATAACCACAAAGTCTGGGATGTACAGAAACTTTCCACCCCCAACCCAACACAACATAGAAGACAACCAATTTCAAAAATAGAGGATACAGCAATTGAAAAGACATTTTTATGCTGTTTCCATGACATTCTGATCTTGGGTTCACTATGATAACACAAGCTTTGATCGATAGTTGAAATGGAATCATGAAATTCTGATCTTGGGTTCACTATGATAACACAAGCTTTGATCGATAGTTGAAATGGAATCATGAAATTCTTACTTTCTTACTTTGTTACACTTTCCACCATAGAAAGCTCCTTCCGCCCACAATTGTATCACAATCAAGAATATCAATACACAAACTAAACCATTTGGCTGAAAATGTTTAAGACAAAAAGTACGCCATGTTTGGCCAATGTTTGGGAGCCTTTTTCAACAGAATGAGGGATGTAATCTATTATAGATATATAGAGAATTTATAAGTATACTCAAGCGGAGAAAGGAAAACCTATGTTCCATGAAAACGATAAAGTCGATCCACTTACTACGAGGTATACTGCCAGATTGTTCAGTTGTTGATTTCCTGCAACAAGTGAGAGCTGTGATCAAATAAACTATAAAGACTATGGAAGCCTAGTGCAGTGCAATGCAGATATTTTTCACACTGAAAATATCAAATTAAGAAAAAATAAGAAAAAGAAGACAAATGAACTTAATTAAAAACAACACACAATATAAAAAAGCCTAATTAGCCATCACAAACAAAAGCTTAGGGTTGCAACAGGTAATTCTTTTTCCTTTTCCTTTTTTCTTTCGTTCTCCGTGGAAAAGAGAGAATAACATATATTTATTAGATTGAACCTTTTGTAAAGACTCTCAAGAGGCCACAAATTCCTATAAATCCTTGAAGTCACTTTTTTTTGTTTTTTTATCATTTCCATTTTCTACTTTCTAGTTCCACATTAACTATAATGTAGTGAAAGACCAAAGTAACATGGGTTGAAATAGCGAAGAAATCTATACAATAGCATGCGATGATTGAGTTTATAGCATTAGATAGAGGAGAATGGCGAAACAAGATTCATGCAACTAGCCTAATTAGTTGAGAAAACAGCTTTGTTGAGTTAAATTACACATTAATACACATCAAATCCCTTCTTCTATTTTATGAAAAAAAATAAATAAATAAATAAACAAAATTTTTTAATAACACCTAATGATTGATTGTGTATTGCCATTCTTATCTCACAAAAACAAATTCGCAAAATTTTGTATCAAAAAGGAAAGGAATCCCTCCTACCTTCTATTAAGATTGAATTTTTTTTTTTTTTTCCATATATCCTAGTAATGAACAACTTTATGTGAATTTCAAATGCATTCCTATCACATGAGAACCTGATTCCAAATTGGTGCACATCAGAGACACTGCTTGTTGCATACATAAAAGTGCAGGCTGCCAAGAATAAATAAAATAAAATAAAATAAAAAATAAAAAAAGGCAAGTTCAAAGATGCGGGCAGTCACTTCATGCAATTAATATAACGTATTTTCCATCAACACTTTTCATAACTCATTGAGAACTCTGAAACTTCTTAAACCATATAAAAATCAACGCTAAATGGTGCACATCGGAGACACTGCTTGGTGCATTCATAAAAGTTCAGGCTGCCAAGTGTAAGAAAAACAAGTTTAAAGATGAGGGCAGTCACTTCATGCAATTAATATAAGGTAGTTTCCAACAACACTTATTGAAACTTCTCATAACTATTTGAGAACTCTGAAACTTCTTGAACCATAAAAAAATCAACACTAAATTTATTTCTAACATATTGAAGTCAGTAATTCCATAGCAAATTAACACAACAATCAACTTATGGACGATCGCTAACTTTTTTGATCATATATACTTTTTAATTTCTTGGAGCTTTGGAGAACTTTCAAAACAATTATATATATATATATATATATATATATATATATATATATATATATATTAAAACAGTGTCCGTCTTCTTAATTTGATAAATATTATCAAAGTGTCATAATTTATACTCCTTTTTTAGTGCCATCCATTATTTTTACATCATGGTAGTATAGCTTGTTTTTAATTGAAAAAAAAAATGTTGCTTTAAGCATGTCAAACCATCAATAAAATCTTTTGGCAAGGAAATATGTACAAACTAAAATATTAAACTAAAGCAAGATTAGAACTCTTGGCAAGAAGGTAAAGTTCACAGGCTAATTGAAATCTGAATTAAAGGAACAAATAGTGAGGACATAGAAAGAAAGAATGAGCAAAAATTTGTATGTCACAATTTAACTTAGAGTAATCTAGAAGAGAACCAAAAAGCAAACGTAAATATAACACGTTAGTAAGGTTCTCATGCCAACAATCTAACATACTAGAAGCTAATCTTAAAGAAATTCATTAAGTTCTGTGTTGGATACCTTTGTTGTAACACCACGTCCTTCTCCCCACTTGACTTTGTGTCTCTGGTTGCCTGAGTATTCAAATGTCAAGCTATGAATGCCCCGAATATTTTATATAGAGACATGCCATAATCAATTTAAATACTATTTAAATTGTAATAGGAATACAAAGCTTTGTACATTTAGTACTTGCATTATTCAATGAATTTCAAACTTTGAAGAATCATTTGACATAAAGACATATCAGAGAAGTCCAAAAATACATTTCATTGTCCAAGTTGTGGCAGAAAAAATTAGGAGGACAGAAAGAAAGCTGCGCATAGAGAGAAAGAAAGAGAGAGAGGAGGTCACACTTAAACAAAATGCTAACATTGTTAAACAGGGATGCTTTGTCCATTTCATCTCAACAATATCAGAATGAAAGCCAGTCACTACCATATTTTAGTGGGTCAGAAGACCCCAGTTAGTTTATAAACGACAGTCGGGAATCCCTTAATCCGCACTTCTCACAAACAATAGTACAGACTTTATAATAAAAGGCAAAATATCTTTCTTTCAAAAGCCACATTTTATAACCGACATTTCAAGGTTCCAAAATGCCTTAGCATCCAAAATAGTCAACATACTATAAATCCTAAAGAATAGAATAGCTTTAAGCAAAACAATACATAGGGTAAAATTGGTCTTTTCATTGATAATCACTAAGCTTTTATTGCAATGTTCTCCTAGCTCACAAATTATTGCAAGGTGAAACAGAAACTCCATCGACTCAAGCCCGAATGGAGTCTCAAAGTCAAGGCAAAAGTCAGAAAGCAGTTTGAGGCCGGATTTCTAATGGTCTCCAGTTATCCAAACTCGTTAGCCAACATCGTTCCAGTTCCCTAGAAAGACAGGAAAGTCCAAAGGATGATTTTTCACTCCCACACATTGACATCTTAGTAGACAACACTGCCAAGCAGTGTGTTCTCCTTTATGGATGGATTTTCTGGTTACAATCAAATCAAGCTAGCGGAAGAGGATCGTGAAAAGACGGCCTGAATCATCCCATGGGGGACATTTTGCTACAAGGTTTTGCCATTCGGATTAAAGAACCTAAGGGCTACTTATCAAAGGGAAATGACCACTCTCTTTTGTCATATGACGCACAGAGAAATAGAGGTCTATGTAGACTATGTGATCGCTAAAATCAGTCTACGAAGAAGATCCCCTCATCAATCTCATAAAGCTATTCAACCGACTCCGGAAATCTTAGAAGAAGCTCAACCCAGCAAAGTCTATCTTTGGCATAACCTCAGGCAAGCTTTTGGGTTTCATTGTCAGTGGACTAGATATAAATAAGGGAGAATGATGAAGAAGATAGAGGTTTGCTCCAAAAAAAAAAAAAAGGTACGTCTTCTTTGACAGTGATGAGAGGAGAAAAATAAAAGACTACAAATGTGCAACACGAAAAATGGCCTATATATTCATCATCGTAAACTGTTAAAACAATAAATGATAATAATGACCTATATATTTATCACAGTAAATGGTTATTGCACTCAGTTAATTAAAAAGATATATGCATAATTGAGCACACAAAGTAACTGAATAGCAGTTCAAATGCTATAATAATTGAAACCCAAAATTGGGCAGAGAAAAAGCACATAATAAGAAGTAGAATGTGGGGTGATTCATTAGGTTACAAGTATACTAAGATCAACACTCAAATATAGGAATGTTTAGGTAAGGAAAGGAAAAAAAGAGCAAACCTTCTTGTTGTTCTTATCTCGCCCAAAGCCACGTCCAGGCTGTGAATCAGAGCAGTGTATTCGAAACATATGGAGCCGACGAGGAGGAGGAGGAAGATTGCGATTGACCCCGATACGAGCAGTGTATACTAAACACACCGTTGTAGTAGTTGATGTTGCTGTAATTGACATTGTTGATGAATTCGGTCTTCCTCTCTCTAGACTGAAGAGAGAGATAAGGTTTTCTCCTCCGTTGTTCGTGTGCGTGGTGTTGAGATGGCGGCATCCACCTCCTTACCCGCCAGAACTCAACAGTGTGTGACTGTTACCTTATCATGTTTTATCAGTTTGTTATTTTTACTCCTTGGAAATGTGTTTGGATCCTCATGCAATCATGCTCAAACCGGAATAGAAACCATTTCCTTTCCCCCATTTCCTTCCCTTTCCTTTTCTTTATTTTTGTTTTCCTTTTTCTAGAGACAAAATTATTTTTGGCAAAAGTTTGAAAAACTCCCCTAAATTATAAAAATATTGTAAAATACTCCCCTAAAGTAATTTTTGGAACAAGTTTTAAAAAACAAGCAAATGGCCCCCTGAAGCCCACTCTCCGGTCGTTAAACAAGCACGTAACATGCAAACTTGAATTAATGACGAAAATACCCTTGGATAAAACTGTTGTGCCCCCCCCCCCCTTACTATAAAACACATTTGCGGGTAATTTTTTATAGGGTTTATAGTAATTTTCCAACTTAAAATCGCATGTGCGACATTTCTTAATATTTTAAGGTGTTATTTGCAAAAACAGATGTGGAGGAGAGTAAGCTACTAAATCCCTGAAAGTTGAGAGCAAATTTTTTTTTTTCAACTTATCCAACAGGTACTTCCCGGCAAATCTAGTTAACTTCCATTGTGTTCACCTTAAAAAGGGTATGTTTGGATGGGATGATTTGAAAGGATAGGAAGAGAAAAGAAAAGATAGGGTCAATTGTCTTTGGGAAAGTTAAATGGAGAAAAAGAGAGAATAGGGAGGAAGCCTCATTTGCTATCTCTCCAAAATTGAGAAGATAGGGAGATAAAAACATAATGGTTTAGTAGTATTTTCATAATAATAAAAGTAAAAAAATAATAGGTCTTCTCGACGTTAATTGTCTACTCTTCCTCCGAATACAACGTGGTTGGATTTCATTGGAACTCTTAAATTTTTTTTCGTAAATATCTCTTTCTCTTCGACTCATTTCCAATCACGTTATATTCGGATGAATAGTCGGCAATTGAAGTCGGAAGATTTATCACTTCTCATAAAAGTAACCTCCATAAATAAATATATTTATATAAAAGGATAAGATAATAATTTAATTATTATTTGTACACGTCTAAAATAATTTTTTGATCTAATACATATATTTCAAATAAATTATATTTTGTTATTACTTCTTTTCTTTTTCTTTTTTATTTTTAAATTAAAATGCTTAATTCTTTTATCTAAAAAAAATTAAACCAATCTCTTTTCTTTAAAAATAAAAAATATGGTACAAGTATAACTTTATGCATCTTAAATTATATATCAACTATTATGCATTTCCTAACATAAAAGAAAATATTACCTCTCTTCTTATCTCAAATGCATTCTCATGATTAAAATCATAATTTTTTCTTCATGCTTATGATTTTGATGCTTTGATCCACCTCCAAAAAGTTACAAAGAATTAACTTTTACATATCAATTTTTTTTCTATGCCCAATAAAAAAGGGAAAAAAAAAAAAAAAAAACAAAGAATTAAGCATATTTTTAAAAAGTTACAAAGAATTAACTTTCACATACCATATTTTTTATTTTTAAAGAAAAAAAATTGATTTAATTTTTTTTAGATGAAAGAATTAAGCATCTTAATTTAAAAATAAAAAAGAAAAAGAAAAGAAGCAATAACAATGTCTACATTTTTAAGAAGGTAGGGTATTTATAAAGTAAATAACATTGTTCGTGAGGGTAGATTAGTTCAATTTATTAAATTGTAAAGTTAAAAAAGTCTCCTAAACGGTCAAAGGGTAACAATAAATTTCCTTTTTCTTTTATTTTATTGTCTTTCCTATCTATCCAAACATAAATAGAAATTATTACTCTACTCTCTTTTTCTTTCTTTTTTTTTTTTTTTTTTTTCTTTTCTTTTCTTTTCATTTCTCTCCTGTGCATCCAAACAAATCTGTTATGAAAAATGGAAGACTGAATTAATAGCAGTGGGATTGTTGCGTCAAACCAAATTACACCCTTCCTTAGAAGCTGAATAGTGAAAGTGTGAGGCTTTGTTAAATCAAGAAGATGGGAAAAAACATATGTGGTGTGTGAGAGAGAGAGAGAGAGCACAAAAAGTAGGTAAAATTATGATAAAAAGTTTAAGTAAGAAAGGAGCAACAGGTATTCAACTAAAAAAACAGGAATAAAGTAGTACAGTAGAACTACATACGCTAAAAAAATTGAATTTGCAACAAAAACCAAGAAAGAAGAAGAAGAAAAAAAGAAAAGAAAAGAAAGAAAAAGATAAGACACAGATTCTTTCATTCATGTACTACTACTACTAATTATTTGTAGTAGTAGAATTAGTAATGTTGCGGACGGAGTTCCAGATGTGTGACACAGCACCAACAACATGAGGAAACACAGCCCCAATCCCGCGCAAAACGGCGCCGGAAGCAACCCCAATCGCCAAAGCCTCACCGTAACCAGGCTTGGCGTCCATTTTCATGTCAAGCCTCACCAGCCGCGAGTTTATAACATCCAGCTTCTTCGATGTTTCGGCCATGGAGGTGGACTTCTCTTTAGCTTCACGAGGAGGCGTGGACATAGTCACAACTCGGAACAGTGCCTTCTGGAGATCGTCGATGACCTTCACCGAAGCTTCTTCGTTCTTCATGCCTTGAGACTCGTAGTGTGCTATCAGCTCTTTTGGGGTTGGTAGCTTCCTCTTCTTTTGCACTCCTCCTCCTCCTCCCCCTCCGTTGTCACTGTCCTTTCCATTTGATGCTGATGATTTTAGGGTTGGTCGTTCCATCACCATAATTTTGAAGAATCCAGTGATTTTTGACCTCTCTAATTTTGATGGTTTTGCTTCCGGATGATAAAAGGGGCTTTTTGAGGAAAGCAAAGCCCTAGATTGGGTTTTTTCAAGATGGAGAGGATAGATAAGACGGGCCAACCCACCCACGGATTCTACCCGGGCCCAACAATTTTAGAAACCCATCATTAATCTCTGTTCTCCAACCAAACTGTCAAAACAATTTTTACTCTTATTACTAATAGTTGTCCATTTTGGTATTAAAAGTTTTTAACAAAATATGTAATTAATGCATTATGTTTTATTAAAATTACTAATAATTTTAGGTGAAAGGTTTTTGAAAACTAGTAAATATAGGAATAGCAAATAAAAAATAAAAAAAGGGACTACTACTACCCTGGCATAGGGGAAGGATTAAAATCGTCTCCAACGCAACAGGGAATATGTCCCAGCAGGTGAGAGATGTGCGTCCAGGATTTTGCCACGTCAGTTAGTAATAAAAGACAAGAAAAGAGTAAATCATTTTTTACTAAATACGTATTACAGGTGTATATAGACAAAGTGTTCGTGTCTTCCACTATTTGTATTTCTTCTCATCTTCCACTACAGGGATATTGATTTCGATTTTGAAGCGACCGAAGATGAATGAACTGAAGAAGAAAATTCCGATTTTGAAGCGACTGAAGGTGGATGAATTGAAGAAGCCTTCGATCCTGAGGAATTTGTATATTCACATTAATGAATTTACAACAAAGTCATTTTTTATAATGTATATTCACATTAATGAATTTACAACCCAACTATGAGAAAACCTGGTGCAGATTTTCCTTCTTTAAAAGCAGAAAAAACTGTTATACATATGAAAGAGCTACAATTTCATACTACGAATTAAACATAAGATTTCTAACAATAAGTGTTGGGATTTTATTTTTAAACTCTGGAAAGAATTTTTGGGTTCCAACTTCCAATACCTCTTTCAACCTCGGGGGAAAATTTTGCTTTTTTTTTTTTTTTTTTTTTTAAAACAGAACCTTCCAACCGCGAGCCCTTTGAACTTATGGCTGCAAGGTAAACCACGAATATGTGCAATCACATTGGTTCTACTTTTCAAATGAAAGTAACCATTTGTTAAGTCATTCTAACAAAATTTGCTAAGTTCTTGAATTCTGTACAATAAATAAGAGTAACAAATCAACAAAGTTGAAACAATCATCTACCCATTTCCTTTGGAAATGCTTTGATACTCTCCAGTTAACAAATTCAGTCCAACACATTCCCTCCATTCTAATTCTAAGGGGAGTGAGTGCGTTGTGCAAATGAGGAGGAGTTGTATTGCATATAAATAACTCTCAAAGAAAGACGGGAGCCATTACAAGAGTTATCGTTGCCAGCATTTTGATGAGGACGTGAAGGGAAGGTCCTGCTGTGTCTTTGAATGGGTCTCCCACACTGCAAATCAATATCATATATAATTCAAAGCAAGCAAGAAACTTCAGACTAATTACGAGTAATAAGGGAAATGGAAAAGGAATAAATGAAACAGAACACAAGACAATTCCCCTAAATAATGATGCCCGTTGAAGCACATAGAGGTTCAGACCTCCAACATTGTGCGACTGCTGACAAGAATTTGAAAGAGTGATCAATTAGTTTAAAAAGTTTGCTTAAAATCTTTGTTTTCAGGATACCCATCTTTACCTCTTAAACTAGAACAAGTTAAAGAAAATTGATGTGTTAAATGCAACATACACGGAGCATAAAAGAGGGGTGGTTTCCCAATTGAGAGTATAAATGTAGAGACTGACAAATTTAGGAGAAAAGATTAAAATTGTATTGAGTATAAATGTAGAGACTGACAAATTTAGGAGAAAAGATTAAAATTGTATTGTAATTGAGAAAGCCAATACACGGCTTATATACACAAATTACAGCCTGTACAAAGCTAATCACAGGAAGATAAAATAGGAAACTAACCTTCCTAAAAAATGAATTAGAATGAATTTCTATATTAGTGGGATTCTCTAACTTATTATCCCATGATTCTAGGAAAGTCAATGATACACATAAAATACTTTCCTTACGAATCCACCTATGGAGGGAATAAATCTTCTACTTTCCAACACTCCCCCTCAAGCTGGGGAATATGCATCTTTCATTCCCAGCTTGGAAATAGATTCTTGAAACGCTGCACTTCCTAGTCCTTTTGTAAGCACATCAGCAAGTTGACCATTGGTTGAGACGTATGGAGTACAAATTAAGCCACTATCCAACTTCTCCTTTATGAAATGTCTATCTACTTCCACGTGCTTTGTTCTTTCATGTTGAACAGGATTGTGAGCAATGCTAATGGCAGACTTGTTGTCGCAAAATAACCTCATTGGTCCTTCCCACTTGATTCTTAAATCTTCCAGAATTATCTTGAGCCATAATAACTTGCATACTCCTTGAGCCATTGCTCTAAACTCTGCCTCCGTACTCGATCTAGCTACCACATTCTGCTTCTTACTTCTCCATGTTACAAGGTTGCCTCCAAGGAAAGTACAATAACCCGTGGTGGAACGTCTATCAATGAGTGAGCCTGCATAATCTGCATCAGTGTATGCCTTTAAGACTAATCCAGTGTTCCTTTTAAATAAAATTCCCTTGCCATGACTAGTTTTTAGATAATGTAGTACTCTGTAGACTGCCTGTAGGTGAACTTCTCTTGGGTTGTGCATAAATTGGCTAACCGCGCTCACGGTATATGCAATGTCTGGCCTTGTGTGAGCAAGGTATATAAGCTTCCCTACTAATCTCTGGTACCTTTCCTTGTTAACGGCTAGATCTTCACTTGCTTCCCCGAGTTTGTGATTTGGATCGATCGATGTGGAGCTTGGTTTACATGCTAGCTTCCCTGTCTCCCTTAGAAGATCAGTTACATATTTCTGTTGTGAAATGAAAATGCCTTCTCTGGAATGGGCTACTTCAATTCCTAGGAAGTACTTCAATCTTCCTAGTTCTTTTATCTCAAATTCTCTTATTAGGCATTTTCTCAAGGCTTCCTTCTCCTTCTCATCATTTCCTGTCACAATTATGTCATCGACATATACCAAAAGAGCCGTGACTCCCCCTGCATCTGAGTGTTTAATAAAGAGAGTATGATCCCCTTGACTCTGTTTATATCCAGTGGCAAGCATTACTTTGGCAAATCTTCCAAACCAGGCCCTTGGTGATTGCTTCAGGCCATACAACGCTTTCTTCAGTTTTCAAACCCTGTTGCTACTCAGATTTCCCTTGAAGCTTGAAGGGATATCCATGTATATTTCCTCCTCTAAATTACCGTGAAGAAAAGCATTTTTTACATCAAATTGTTCTAAGTACCAATTGAAGTTGGCTGTTAGTGATAACAAGACTCTTACCGTACTTATTTTAGCCATTGGAGCAAATGTCTCTTGATAGTCAACACCATAGGTTTGCGTGTATCCCTTTGCCACGAGCCTGGCTTTGTATCTCTCCAAAGATCTATCTGACCTGTACTTCACTGTAAACACCCACTTGCATCCTACAGTCTTCTTTCCTGGTGGTAGGTTGACAATTTCCCACGTTTGATTCTTCTCTAGTGCCTGCATCTCTTCTCTCATAGCATCTTTCCATTTCTCATCAGATAATGCCTCAGATAATGTATCAGGAATATGAATAGTGTTTAGGCTGACTAGGAAGCTCCTATGTGCTTGTGAGAATTTTTTAAATGACACAAACTTCGCTAAAGGGTACAATGGGTGTTTAGTGCATTCTCTTGTGCCTTTCCTAATGGCAATGGGAATATCATGATCATGTGGCGTTTCTGGAGCTGTATTTACCTCATTCTCAGGATTAGGCGTTGAATCTTGGACTTGCACAGGATTAGGACCCCGGTCTCTTTGTCTTGAATACACCTGCGAAAACCTCATAGAGTCACGAAGTTCATTATTCTCTGTCATTAGACTTTGAATAGGAGTAGTATTTGACACAGAAACGGGCTGTGATGATGGTTCAAGAGGTACCTGTGATGATGGTTCAAGAGGTATAGGTTGAATTGGCACAAAAACTGGGTTGGAGTCCAATGGAACAGGTGGAAAGTCTCTGTCCTTATCTTCAATGAATGCCAAAGACTCTCCCTGAAGATAAGGCTGAGTGAAATATGGTATTTTTTCTTCAAAAGTGACATCAATAGAGACTAAGAACTTCCTAGTAGGTGGATGGTAACACTTGTAACCCTTTTGAGTAGACGAATAACCCACAAAAATACACTTGGTGGCTCTTGGATCTAGCTTCCCTCTATTATGGCTATGGACATGAACAAAAGTAGTGCATCCAAAGATTCTTGGAATGAGGTTGTTTGTTGTTCTTAGATCTGGATAAAAACGGGCAAGTGTCTCCATTGGTGTTTGAAACCCCAGCACCCTCGAAGGTAATATGTTGATTATGTATGCAGCTGTAAGCACAGCTTTCCCCCAGAAAGTTTTTGGGACATTTTGATGGAAAAGAAAGGCTCGGGTTGTAGCTAATAAATGACCATTCTTCCTCTTTGCCACTCCGTTTTGTTGTGGAGTGTTAACACAAGAGGATTCATAGATAATTCCCTCTTTTTGGAAGTATGGAGATAAGGTTTGATTGAAATAATCCCTTGCGTTATCCGATCTAAATCTCTTTATTTTAACCCCAAAGTGGTTTTGAATCATGTTATGGAAATTTGGAATCACACTACTTACATCCGATTTAGATTTAAGAAGAAAGATCCAGGAGACTCTAGTGCAATCATTGATAAAGGAAACAAACCATCGTGAGCCAGACACATTTTTAACTGTGGAAGGCCTCCATACATCACTGTGAATTAAATAAAATGGAATTGAACTTCTTTTATCACTAACCGGAAAGGGTACACGCTTGTGTTTTCCAAATTCGCACACATCGCAATGAAAATCTTCAACTTTCAGCCCTTTAAACAAGAAAGGAAACATAGTTTTCAAAATTCCAAAAGATGGATGTCCTAGTCTAAAATGATGAAGCCAAATAGTGTCTTTATTGGATGATGAAAGAAATGACAGAGATAATTTATTCCTGACAATATAAGATTTTCCTGTTTCTTCAAGATAGTAAAGCCCATTCTTCTCCTTAGCAAGTCCAATCTTCCTCCCCGAATCCTGGTCCTGAAATGTACAATAAGAAGGATAAAACAAAACATTACAGTTCATGTCATGAGTGAGTTTTTGCATGGATATGAGGTTGGTGGATAATTTAGGGACATGAAGGACATTTTTTAGTGTGAGAGATGGACTAATATGGATATCCCCTAGACCTGGTACGGTAGTGAGAGAACCATCTGCAACAGCTATTTTTCGATTGCTTGGACAGGGGTTATAAGTGCTAAAATTTAGTGAAGAGTGAGTCATGTGATCTGTAGCTCCTGAGTCAATAACCCATAGATTCCTAATAGGTTCATCTGAGACATTTAATCCGTGAGAAACAGAAAACTTACTTGAGAGTGCGAGAGAACATGCACCACTTGGTTTCTCCAATGATCCCAGAAGCCCCCTTATCTTCTCGATCTCCTCATCATTGAACCCGCTCTGTTCTTGAGACTTTTCGTGGCTCGGCTGATTTGTGATGAAGTTGGCTTGGCTTCTCTGCTGTCCTCCTCGGTATTCCCACTCTCTGCTTGGTGGTTTACCATTCAACTTCCAACATTCTCTCTAGTGTGTCTTGGTTTCTTGCAATAGGTACACCAAAGAGTATCCTTGCTGCCCTTTCCTTGAAACTGTGACAAATCTGCCTTACCACTTTCTTGAATTGATGGCCGTTCTGTCTTCGTCACCATAGCTGATCCTTCTAGGGCTTGGGGTTCAAGCATAACGCCCCTGCAATTCTTCTCTGCCTGGATCAGAGAGATGGTCTCATTTAAAGATGGTACCTCCTCCTTGCCAAGAATCTGAACCCTGACTTGATCAAACTCAGCATTGAGTCCTGCGAGAAAATCGTAGACTCGATCTTTTTCGATAAAGCCTTTCAAGATTGCAGCATCTTCTGGACATTTAGACTTAATGCACCGGTAATGATCAAGTTCCTGCCACAGATTCTGCAGTGAATTCGCATACTCCGTGACTGACTTTCCACCTTCTTTCATCGCACCAGTCTTGATTTTAATCTCGTACACTTGCGCTGCATCACGAGCCTTCGAATAAGTCTGTCGAACAGCATCCCAAACCTCTTTGGCAGTGGACAAGAACATGCAGGTGTCGCTGATTTCTGGATTCATTGAATTCCACAACCATGACATGATCATGGAATCTGCTTCATCCCACGCATCGAACTTTGGATCTCTAATCAGTAGAATGTAGAAAAACGAAAAATGTTTGACTAGCCTACTGACTCATGACTTCAGTTTCATTGCATATCAATGCATGAGTTTAGTATTGGCATAATTACCGTAAAACCAGATGGAGACTTAAGCAAATTTTTCACATTATTTTCTTTAAAAAAACATTAATTAAAACACCTTTGCTACAGGTCTTTTCTAGTTGTAACATGTCACCACAAAATGAGAGAGGGAAAGAGGAAAAATAATATTAAATTTAATTAAAAATTTCAATAGGCTACAATCAAGCTTTTGAACAAAGCATTTGGAACTAAAATTAGGCAGAAGGTTGATATCTTACAACAAAACTTCTCTATCATTTCTCAATTTTTCTTTTTCAAAAAATTATTAGTAGTATATAACACTCATTCCCCCGAGGTTTCTGACAATTTCAGAGACCTATGCTGTGGTTTCTCAAGTCACACTGCATCCCCTTACACTTTGCTTGTCGGCAGCAAATCACCCCATCTGTTACCATGTCATTACAGACATGGATAGAGACTACTGACATCATGTTCTAAATTATATTTTTGCCCATTCTAAATGGCAGTGTATCTTGTTGTCATTACAATAAACTCATATATCATCATCCTTACCTTAATCCCATATGAATGGGGTCAGCCACATCTCTTCAATCTCTTCTATTGCAAGCAAACTCAAATACCCTAAACCCAATTCCGTACTGACATCAAGTTTTTAATTATATTATTACCCATTCTAAATAGCAGTGGATCTTCTTGTCATTACTGGAAACACATATGCCCTTAACCTAATTCTTTTTCTTCAACTTTCAAAATTTCCACAAAGACTCCCTACCAGATAAAAATAATAATGATAATAAAAAGAAAGAAATAATTTCTTCACATAATCAAGCCAACAATTTCCTTAGATAAGTCCTGCTCAATACTAATTTGTGTGATATTGTGGCCCGAATTTGGTGTTGGGTCGCAACGCGACCCGCTTATAACCCAATAACCCATTGGATGAGCTTTGTGTGGGCCCAAGGAAAAATTTTGACCTGTTTTTTGTTCATGGGACGTGGACCCTAATTAGTCTCTTGTAGCCCAATATATAAGGGCGCTTAGGGTTTGGAATGCGGGAAGAGAAAGACTCTGAAATTCATACAGAAACAGAGTGAGGGGCTCAAAACTTATAATTTCCAATTTTACACATAGTGAAAACTTTTGGCGGATACCAACCGTGGACGTAGGCTGTTGCCGAACCATGTATAAAGCTTTTTTTTTTTTTTTTCCCTAGTTGGTACTCACACACACGTCTCTTTTGAGACTTGAACCCCTAACCTCACTTTGGGAAGTAAGAGGCTGATACCGCTAGGCCACTGGCTCGTTGGTAATCTTTGTGTTCTTTGTGTGGCGTGTTTACTTTTCTATCGTGATTCTTGGTTCGACTTGGGTACGTTGCGTTTGTCATAACAATTTGATATGTCTCCTTCAATGTCAATGCCTTTGAATAATTGGACTGAAACTCGCACCAATTTTGAGTTTCCCACTGATTAAAAAAAACCATAATTCCACTGTCTGGAAATACCTGATTCAGTCTTCTTTTAAGTCTGAAGAACTTCAATGCACAAAATTTTTAAGCTTTTCTCCTTGCCAAACTAGAACAAAATCAACTCCATTCAACTTCAAAATATTTACAACAAATATGGAAAAATCTAATCAAAATTGAAACCCTTCACTTTTTGGGCATCTTCACCAATAAGAAGAGACCCAAATGGTTCACAGTTCTCACCTACCCATCTATCAAAGGGGATGGTCATATTAACAGCAGCAATCATAGAATAGGTGTACAAACAAAGGACCATGTTATGACAATGAGGTGTTTATTATGGTGGTATAAAGGTGATGTGGCAGTGGTGAGGACTGAGATGACAATGATGATTGTGTTGGTTGCCCAAAGCAGGAATGTTTGAAGGTAAGGATGGATTGATTACAAAGTTGTGGTGAGAAGGTAGACACAAATAGATGTGTGGCTGCTAGAAGCTAGAACCAAAGAAATTCAGTGATTGTGGTCTTATAAGGTTGTCAGGGAAGATAAAGCAGTGCATGATTTTATTTATGAGACAATATGGAAGGGAATGGAATTAGGCTGTGATGATGATGCAGTACCGGCAATGTTGTGGTTGATGGAGCTTAAATTCATCGGTGATGAGGGTCACATGAGTAGCAGCAATGACTGAAATAGGGTGATTAGTTCTGACCATCCCTTTCTCTCATCCCAGACTATGAAATGCTCTTACATCTGAAGTGATGGGAAATATTATTTGATTATACAGAACATTACTGAAATAATATGAAGGCCAAAAAAAAACAAACAAAACTTCCATAGATTCCTACCAAAAAGGAAGACTAAAAAGAGAATATAAAAAAACGAATTCTTAATTAGCCAAAAAATAAAAACTAAATCTGAAAGCCCTACTCCCAAGTCCAACTACTCGATTGAAGTTACATGTATCTTTTCAACATCCAATTCTATTTGGAGCTATGTACTGCCTTGTAAAAGAGAAATAGTTCTTCTCTTCCTAATAGGCTATGACAGATACACTTCACAGGTAGCCAGGATGCAGATTGAACTGTGTAACGTGAGATCTGAACCAAAACCGACCAACTTGGTTGCTTTTGGTCCCATTCTCAGTTCAAATGACTTAGCTTCTCAACCACCAGAATACAGACAGGGCAAGAACAATGAATATGAAACGGGGGTGAACTGTCTCATTCACATCATCAAAATACAAATGTCATTTATGAATTTGTTATACAATAAGATCGAGTCAAGTAACACCTCATCGACGAAAAAGGATAACCATTTCAATTATAAAACCCTCAAAAGCAACATTTATCCAAATTTTCTGGATCAAGTCAACACACCCACATGACTTATCAGATCATTTCAATGGGAAGAAGAGAACTCAAAATAGGAGGAATTGGAAAAAAGAAAAAAGAAAAAAAAAAAAAAGGTACCTGAGCCATCTCAAGAGGCCCCTCATCCTTTGAAAGTACACACTTAGTGAGATGTATTGATAAGATGAAGCTGATGATGCAAACTGAGGAGACAAAGACAATGATCGGAGAGGTTCTTGCTCCAACATAAAAGATCGTACCTAAGCCCAAGAGCAGAAGTATAAAAAGAACGCGGCCGTTTATTCTCATGAGAATGCGAAAAAACTGCACAAAGAAACCAACCCATCAACACTAAGCAAACAAGAAGAGCGAGAGAGAGAGAGAGTAAAATGAAGACAAGAAAACAATAAAATTGAGCACAAAAAAATAGGAAAATGACAAACCATATGAGGAAAGCTCCAACAAATAACTGAATAAAAGAAAGAAAAAAACAACATTGAGTCACTCTAAAGAAAACAAAAACTCCAATTTGGAAACAAGAAACTAATCTGCATATCACCACTTTTCACTTTGATACTAGAGCTTGAACTATCAGATGCATTTTCTTAGAGGAAAATTAATAATAATAAACAGGGAGAGAGGGAGAGAGGGGGAGAGAGGGAAAATCAATTCTCCAGTATCTGTTTGGGACCTCAAGAATAGTGTGCTAGTTTCAGAAAACCAACAGAGTTGTCCTTGGGAAGAAAAAAAATAAAATAAAAAGGAACAAGAAAAGAAAATAAAAATGCAAAAGAAAGACTTTCTTCCGCCTTAGGTGTCACTTTTAACTGTGAACAGAATGTCATTAATGTTCTGGATGCAACATGTACGGTTAAAAATGCATGTCATTGTTGCCTATTTCTCTCTTATTCGCTATAAATAGACTAAATTTATACTACCATGACTCTGTAGGTGCAAACAAATCATCGTAACCTGTCCTAAATTTCATACAATATTTATAAGTCCTCGATATTTATTTTATAATTTTCATTGGCAATAATGCATGGGTTAATCCAAATTTTCTACTCTCCTTTTAAATGTACTATATATATATATATATAGTCCTCGATATTTATTTTATATATATGTATGTATAATATAATTTGAGTTTACACAGCTAAACATGTTTGTAAGCTGTTTTTATTACTTTGATTTATATACACATTTTATCATTTGTTTCTCCAAAAAGTTCAAGATACACCATCAATTACATTTTATCATTTATATACATGTATGCTTGTATGTATAATATTTACATATACACCATCTTCCGGAAAGAGATGTTTAAAATTAAAACCATCAATTGGACAAAGTTCACATTAAGCTAGTGCAACATGGTTCCACTACCATACTTAAATCAGACACTGTTAATAACGACAGCAGTATATAAAGTACTGCCGCAACAGAAGGGAAAAAGATTGTAGAATTACTTAGCAAGAGTCAAAAAGCATGCATCAAAGATCAAAATAAGACATGTATCAAAATACAGAGGAAAATATATGCTATGAAAGGTAAAATGAGAAGATAGTTCTTAGTTCTTACCAAAGGGGTATAAGATTTACTACGCATGTCGGGGAAAGTCCTCCGCCTATTTTGGTAAGGCAATAAATTACCACTCTCCATGTTGTCATCCATTGAAAGTTGAAACAGAACAGCAGGAATTGACCTTATGAGCTATTGGGAAATGGTTGAACCCACCACCTTACACTAAGTCACCACCTGAATTTGGTTGCTGAATTATGAATGTCCTTACTTGGATGACGAAGATCAATTAATCTAAAACATTAAACGGATAAGGAAGCCATCAATCTTTGTTCATGGACCTGCTCTCCTCTGTGTTCTGCAACTTCTAGAGCCTAATCCTCCGCGCTAACTTTCAACTATTAGGGAGTTCAAAAAAATCTCCTCTGCTGCATTCAACACGAATCAAAAAATTTTAAAATACACATTCAAAAGTATCACACATTAAAAAAATATAAAAAATTAAAAATATATATACATTCACGGAAGAAAGTAACATTTATCTCCAAAATTCACTGCCCTGAAACCAGACGAAACCCTAGATTCAATGCCGCACACAAACTGATTAAGTTGAGAAAATGAAATTGCCCACAAAATGATGATCTAGAATATATTGTTTAGGGTCCGTGTATAAAAATAAACGGAATGTTTAGATTATTCGTTTGATGGAGTGACGAACAAACTAGTAAATAGAAAATTGCGTACATTCGTGCGCTTTGATCTTCGCAACGAGAAAAAAGCATATAGTTGTAGAGACAGAGAGAGGGGAGAGGGGAGAGGTCCGAGAGGAGATGTATAAAGAAAGCAAAACGGTAGAACCCAAACAACATTTCAGGTACGGAAATCAATTTTTATACGTGTGCGTACCCAACATTGATAAACAGGCTTTTGTAACCGCCATTAATGAAAGCTTGTTGGTAGTGACTTCTTCCCGGACACAGAAGAAAAAAAAAAAAAAATTTATATACATATATACATATATATATATATTGAGTATTTATTACGTCGACCTCGTGATAAAGGCGCACGTACTGAAGCCCTAACTTTGTTTTTGGATAGACCAATTAATTATATACTACATCCCTCTCAAAAACAGAAAGTATCGTGGAGGACCGTAACACTTTATTAAAGTGACACTTTTTATGAGGTTAAAGGAGTAGTATTTTTTATCTTTTTTATTACAAAATATAATAATATATATTATTATATTATAACGGCAGTGTTGATTTTTTGTACAAATTATATTAATAATAAACATTGAACGATTTATATTTGTGTGTAATTTATCTCAACCTTAGGAAAATTAATATAATTTAATTATATATATCAAATCTATATACATATCAGTAGAGTTTCACATAATTTTTTATTTTTAAAATTAGATTTGTTTAAAAAAAGTTATATACTTTTAAATTTAATTCAGATGTATATAAAAATACTACCATTAAATACATGCATACTTTAAGATTTTTTATTTTTAAAATTAAATCATTTTGTTTTATAAAAAAACTAAAAATGTTTCAAGTTGTCATCGTCATCTTGCTCTTTATTCGGTAGAAATCAAGATTCTCTTCTTTTCTTTTCTTTTTTTCTTTGTTCATCTTTCATATCATAAGTCATACCTCCTGCTAATGTAAGTATCTATTTCACCTAATTCTATTCCCTCTCCTCTCTTCTTGCTAATATGTACCACACTTAATTTTTTCTTTATCTTTCCTAAAGTCTACCCTCTCTTTTTTTCTCCCTAACTAGTGTCACACCTAATCCCTAATATGGGTTTTTCGTTTTTTTTTTTTTAATGTCCAACATTTCGACTCATATAAAATATATAGTTTGTGAAATGAAGATTATATATACTTTTCCTTTTAACTTATTTGTATTTTGCATTTTTGCCACATGCATATATGCGTTCATGTATCTTTACATTTCACCCAATTATATAAAAGCGCAAGTGGATTCCAAATGTTTTTCCTTTCAACTTATTTTGTTTAATCCCCGCTACTTTCCTCTAATTTATCCACCATTCCAAGTATATCATCATCAATCTCTTGATAGTTATACATTTTTATTTTTATTATTATTTTAACCAATTCCCTTGCATATATATATGTACATGTACGTTTGTTTTGTTTGGATGTAAAATTTTTTTTTATTTTTTTTATTTTCTGGTCTTTTATTGTCGTATAATATTTATGAAGAAAAACAATATTAAAATTTTAAAAAAATAATTTATCCATTAATTTTTGGTAAGTTTTTTTATACGTTCCGCTCGAAGGATTCGATCTAAACATTTGCCAAACACCGAAATGTACAAATAAAAAATATATTTTACCTAAAAAGTAGAAATATTTTACCTAAAAAATAAAAATATTTTTTGAAAAAAATATTTTACATTTGTTTCAAT